CATATTTCAAATTCTTGTCATGTTTGGGTTGACAAAATTGACTTGAAAAAATTTGTGTTATATCATGTTGCGTGTCAACTTGTGAATCCAAAATTTACTTGCATTATTTTTTTACAGATTATTTGTGTCATGTTGTGTAAAAAACAGATTATTCATATTTTATCATGTTGTGTCAGCATGCATAATAAGTATCACAATTTGAATTGATATGTTATTTATATTGTGTCAATTTGCAAAGTAAGCGGATCGTGTTCGTGTCGAAGGTTTTAACACGATTTCAAATTTATATTGTGTTGATATTAAATGTATTCGTATTTGTATGATGTTAGCAAATCTTGGGTGCTATTGCTGCAACATACATCACTTCTAAAAAAAAATTGGATTTGAAAGGAATTATGAGAAAAGATTTGTATTCAAGTGGCATAAAAAATTTCCAATTTGAAAAAATGTTGTACCCAACTCGATACAGCAGTATCATAGAAGAAAATTCCATATCGATCGAAATTGCCACCCCTAAATTTATATCAATACTGAGAATTTTTTCACTTTTGCATGTGTTTCTTTGACTTCATTCTACGATATGGTTGTAAACAATTATGACCTGTTTGGTGTGATGTATAACATTAGATAGTATAAACTTATACTACACGATATGACATTTTTAGTTATTTGGTGTGACCATCGTATAGTATAAGCTTATACAGCAAGATCACTTTATACCTCAAAATGATGTATAATTTAATCGGGCCTAGGAGGATAGGATTAGGCCTGATAAATGGTTAATGTATTAACCAATGCAATTCTTAAGAATTAATATATTATTTAGTATTCATATATTAAAATAAAAAAATAATTTTTTAATTTATAAAATTTTAAAATATTGGAGATTTTTATTTTTATAAAAATTAATAGATTTTGTAGACACACTGATCAACAAATCTATAAAAATTAATATCATCTTATATATTTGGAAGAATTATATAAATTCATAATTAAAAGGTAATTTTGTTAAAAATATTTATTTTCTCCTATCTAGTATTATACAGTGCATTACCAAACATTAGATGATATTATCTTATACAATGTATTATCTTATACAATATCATGTCAAATGCTGGATAGTATTAAAATTTAATCAAGTCTTATACTATCAAGTCTTATACTATCGGACTTTATCCTATAGTATATCTAACTATTCCCATAGTTTTGAACTTTCGGTTGATCGATGATGACAAGACTGAGTTGGGCTATAAATGGACTACATTTGTTCAAGAGTGTGATACTTGTAATTTGTAAAGCATGATCCAATATTGGTTGGGACATGAACCCTTTCATTCGTAGTAAGAGCTGGATCAGATTGTTTCCCTTTATTAAAACACTTCCATTATTCAATCCTCTTCATCCACTCTTATCACAAGAGAACACGTAAACCTTGATTGATGCTGAAAAATAATCAAATCGTTGACTTTGTCACATGTGATGTCTCAGAACGATATGATTTTATAATTAGAAATTCATATTCGTCATACTTGGCATAAGTTCACAAATACAATATATATTAATAGATGGAAAAAAAGTGTGTTATTTTAAATTACACACCTTTTATTCTTTCACTTTTACAAAAAAGTAGAAGCCATAACTTTAAAACTTTTTCTATCTATTTTCTCTCATATGATTTATTTATTTCTCTCATTTAAAATAATACAACTTTACATCATTTAAAATGATACACATTTTTCACTTATTAGACCTGTGGAAAGGAAATATAACAAGCTTAACCATAATTTTTAAAACCTACGCCTATGTGCTGTCATTTTCAAATAACTAATAGACAAACTTTGCTTAATATTTTTTTCTTCTGATCAAATAGATCAATTCTTACATTTATGTGACATTTGTCAATATGGAAACCAATTTAATTTTTTTATTCTCCTGAAATATAAAATGAAGAACAGTTGTTGTTATGTACCGAAACACGCCAAGCTGTAGCTTTATAAGAAATTTATAAGTATATTATATATGTTGATTGAAAATATAATAATAATAAATAAATAGTTCATGGTATTAGTAAATTATAAATTTAGTAATGTAATTAGGGTGAGCTACTGTTGAGATATACAGCACCCCAAAAACTAGCTCAAAGGGTGAGAGTGCCCAAGGTCTTATAAACTTCACATTAGTTGCACATACAACCAATGTGAGACTATATATCTCAACACGCCCCCTTACACAAGAGCTCATTGGACTTGAAGAGTGGACAATGCAACTTGTAGAGTGGACAATGCAACTTGAAGAGTGGACAATGCAACAGGCTCAACCTACATGTGCGAACAAAGAAATTTCACTTGAAAGAAAGTGGGGGCGACGAGGATCGAATCTGGGACACGAGGCTCTGATACCATGTAAAGAACCTTGAGATACACTACCCCAAAAGCTAGCTCAAAGGGTGGAAGTGACGGAGGCCTTATAAACTCCACATTAGTTGCACATACAACCAATGTGAGACTACATATCTCAACAGCTACTGATCCGACCTATTAACTTAATAAATGCTAAATTACAAGTTTGGTATGACTTATTTTTTAAAAATAAAAAGTTTAGTATGAACTATATCACGTTTACTATAATTTTAATTACAACATATCAAACAGGAATTGCTTAAGAAATTAGAACACCAGAATAAACAGGGATAATTTTTATGATTACCAAGTAATCTCTTCAAAACACTTTTATATGATGAATAAGGGAAAGAAATATCTATCTTTAAAAATTTGAATATTCAACATAAAATATCATAGAGAACTTTTAATAGCAAAAATACTATCATATAGTACTAAAATTTCATCTTACAGTCTTAATTTATACTTGGGTAATGTGAAGAACTGAAGATAATGTTGCGGGAAAAATAAAAAGTGGTGCACCTAACTCACCGGTTAGTTTTGTTTTTTTTTCAAAAACATGTGGGTCCATTGTTTTTTTTTATGTAAGTAGGACACTTTTAATTGGAGGTTTGGGGTTACTTTCAAAAAAGCAAAAAATTAATAAGTCAGTTAAAATGGGTACAATATTTTTTGAAAGTAATTGTGGGTACAATACTTTTTGCTTTTGCTACAACATTACCTTCACATTATCCTTTATACTTTCAGGCAAAAAAATTTAAAACAAACATGTACCTAAATTGTTAAACACTTTTATTGTTTTTGCCCAAACCAATTCTATTTTCCTAGTCAGGCAAGGTGTGAGGTCTGACCCAAAGTAGGTCAGCCTCTAGATTCTTGATAAGTTGTCTAACCTATTTACCTCTTAATTATAGTGAATAAAATTATAATTTAATTGATAAAGTCATTTAAAGTTGATAGTAGGAAATTAAGATTAAATATCATATTTATTCATTATTCTTTCTTTTTCAAAATGTATGAATGAAAAGTATTTACTATTTAAAATCCTAAAAATTTCATAAATTACTGGTTTAAAAAGTAAAAAGTGATTTTTTTTGGAATTCCGATATAAACGTCTTATTTTATCATAGGAAATAAAATCATTTTCTGTAATTTAAAACAATGTCGTTTGAGATATAGGAAAAGAAATACTGATCTTTTGATAGTTTGATTTTTCTCTTACAACATAAATATTCCCAAAATTTCCTTTAATTCTCCAAACCTCAAAAGGTAAAAGTAATTTTATATATTTGAGCTTTCATCTTAAAAACAAAAGATTGTTCATTGACAACCTTTGTTAAAAATATTATATCGGTTTTTCTTTGCCACGTTCTCGTTTGCTCCCATCATCATCATCTGTGAGGTATAGAAAGAAGGATAGATTCTCGTCAAAATTTTGAAGAGTAAATATTGAAAATTTGATTTTTTTTTTCAAAAAATAAAAAATAAAAGAGAAAAATTAAATAAAATATGCGGTTGACCCCGACCCACAATTGATTATATTGAAATCACCAAAATTTCAAAATAAATTAATTCTTTTTTGGACAATTTTTTTTCATTATTAATACGTGAATTAAGTGAATAAACCTGTGATATAATATGATACTAATTCGTATCATTTATCTAAATCATACACGATCCATTTTATCACATGAATCAACATATATAACTTACATTTTGACTGCCAATCCGCGGATAAAAACACAATTTGCCACCTCTTCTCGTACAACAATAACTAAAATAATTTTCACGTGAAACAAACCTGCGTGTCCATGATTCATGTATCTACTGAAACTTCTATCGTCATCGAACGAACACGCACATGAATCATCACAAATAATGTATTTTCGTAAAGAACAAATTCAATTAGGTGTGCGTGTATTAATGATTTTATATTTTTTTAATATGACTTCTCACATTACTTAATTCTTTTATTAATTAAATGAGGACGATAGTAAGTATTGATTCCGAGACATCGTGACTCTAATATTATGTATATAAAATCAATGTAATCAAAAAACTTAAGTTAATAGATAATGCTACATTAATAATTTGGGGAAGGATACTGTAACAACCATGTTGTGTTATTACCAAGTGACTACCAATTAATCTCACCGTTAGATCGATTATGTTGATCCAACGGTTATATTTATTTCCATCTTTGTATGGTCATGATCCCCATATTTAATGTGAAAGCATTAAATATGAGAAATCATAACTATATAAAGGTAAAAATAAATATAAAGTATTAAATTTGGGAAATCATGACCATACAAAGATGGAAATAAATATAACCGTTGGATCAACATAATCGATCTAACGGTGAGATTGATTGGTAGTCAACACAACTTAGTTGTCACAGTATCCTTCCTCTAATAATTTAATACTTATGTATCAATTTTGTTTTATTATTACGTACTTTTCATACGCCACACAACAAAGCCACGCGTTCGGACGACGTTGAGTCAGACAAGACGTAGAAAAAGAAAGACACTACATCGTTCCTGCATAGTGATATATCCTTATATAGCTAGCTAACAATTGAAGCTCTTCATCATTCATAGAGGCTTAAATTAAGCACAAGCAAAAACAGAAGATAAACCTTATAAATTGTCACTTTTCGTCTTCCCATACTTTCCCTAAAAAAGCCTTCAAGCGGCGGTCAGCAGCAGAAGAAGAAACATCAAACACACTATGCTCACCAGCTAATTAATCTGATATCAACAGAGGTATGGGTTTCTCAGTTTTCTTGTTGATAATATTCTTCTTTTTTGTTTCTCTTCTCTTTTATTAATTTATTTGAATCTTTTAAAATCTAAATTTTCATGTTTTAGGAGTTTATAACTGTCGGAAAAGCAATTAATAGATATTATTTAGGATGCTTTTTGAAATTGAACCCGGAGAATATGACTTTAATGAGAGTGGGATATAATTAATTCGTTATGTTAATCTTGGGTCGATTTGAAGTAATCAAGTCTAATATATATATGACCTTTAATCATTTGATCCATCCTGCCTAACCTCCGTAAAAAGAAAAAGGTAACGAATCAAAATGAAACCTGACATAATTACACATACCGCTAACTTTTTTTTTTTTTTTTTTAACAAAAAACATCTTTGCTAATACTCGCACGATTTTGAATTAAGAATGATGAACTAAGTAAAGTCGTTTTTAAAATCACAATATTGGAGTTTAAATTTGTGTCATTATTACAAATAAGATTTGTTAGAATTCATAAACTATTTTCACCATATCCTCTTTTTTTAGCTTTCTTTGAGTTAGGCTAAACATATTTTTTACAAAAATTCTTGTAATAAATTTTTTTATAATGAAAAAAAAAATTAAAAGATAAAAATTTATAGAAAAAGTTTTTTTTTTTTAATTTTTATCAGCTTTTTTAAAAATAAGATTTGAGTTTTTAAGTAATTTTAAGTGTAAAGAACCAATTCAACCCAAAAGTTTAAGCTGTTGGGTGAGACCACCTTAATAATTTTACATATTTCAACATTAACTTAAAATTTTTAAGTAATCCTCAAATAATTTTTAATTTTTTTTAACTTTAACTTAAAAATAACTTTTAGATTTTAATTAAAAAAAATCCAAACAAACTCTTAATATCAATCTCTTGCGCGGACAACGAGATTGTCTATCATACGGCAGACCAAACTAGTGATATTACTTTATTCTGGCTACATCGAAATCTCACCTTGCTCGTAAGTCATAATCCAACCCATTATTACAGGTAATGTTACTTTTATATTATTTTTTTGCATTTTTATAAAATAACAAAACAGGAAGACATTTTATACATTTTTTTTAAAAAAAAATTCAACTTAGAATATTTTGGTAACAATATAATTTTATATATATATGGCTTTCCCAAAATAAAAATAAAAATAAATCATATATGTCTAATTTTCTACACGCTTTTAAATAAGATTTCAGGAAGATATATAATCAATTGGTACCTCTCCAAAATCTTGTTATTTTCTAAAGAAGGTAAAGAATGAAAATTAAAGGACAAACTCATCGTGGATGCATGTACATCCTAAGAGGGGAAAGTTTGAAAAATACCATCACTTTGTATCAAGTATCGGATCGGCTATGTATTAGACCTAGTGAAAATCAGTTCGAATTGATTGGGTCTTGTCTTTATAAAAAATAAAAACAAAAATCAAAGTTGGCTCATATTGTCTTAAAAAAATGTGGAACTTCTTTAAAAAAAATTATAATTTTGTTTGCTAGTAGTATACATTTCTACAGTGACCTTAAATTTCAATTTCAAAAATTGAAGCAATTTGCGCAATAGTAAATTAAGAAAATGTGACATATTATTTCCTTGCAAATTCATTTTTATGGGAAGAGTTGTTAGTAAATGCCTTATAATTATTAAATATGATTAGGTGAGAATATTTGATAGAGGAATATGTGGTTACCTAATACCTAAACTTTCTTTTTTCTTTTCTTTATTTTTTTTTACAATATATTATATGTGGTTATCATATGTGACTTTTTTTTATCCCTATAAAAACTATATATATTTGCAGCTCTACATAATAATTTTTTACATATATTTAAAGGAAAAAATATATGTCATTTTAAAGGACATATAATTGTATCATTTTAAGTGAGAAAAAGAGATAGATTATAGGAAAGAGAAAGTGAACAAAAAAATAAAATAAAGATGTGTGTCTCATTTTTTGAAAGAGTGAAATGACACTAGTTATGTCATTTAAAAGGACAAATAATTTTTCCATATTTAAATATTTTTATGTATAAAATATGAGGAGTATTATATTTACAAACTACACTATGTACTCCCGGAAGTACACTAAGTTACACTATGTACTTTCTAAAGTATATAATATATATTAAAAATTTATAAAAAAAAATTATAAACAGAAATATATATAGGTTTTTATGTATTAACCGTTCAATGATGATCCATTGGTCAAACCACTAAACCAATATCCGGCTAACGGAGTTGGGTCTCATAACATTGGTTGAAACTATATCTTACTCCTCACGTGGGCCAGTCCCAATAAAAAGGCGTGAGTTGTAAACTGCTGGTTAGTTACGAACCATGTGACCTCAAATCTTGTTGGGAAATTAAGACGCATACATAATTAATTATGAAGGATGTTGGAATTGGAATCATATGTAATAGTTTGAAAAGGGCTCAAGAAACAATATGCGTATAAATTTGATAAAGTGCTAAAGTCTAAAAAAGATATTCATACAAAACTGAATTAAAAACAACATACTAATTTGAATTCAAACCAATAAAATAATGAATCGTATAGTCATCTTATTTTTATTGAAGTTCACGTCGGGATGTGTTAAGAGGAAATACACAAGTAAAAATATTTTATGAATAAATGAATAAAAATAGGTTTTTCTTGGTATTGAACCTCACAAGTTATTTCTTTGAGAAAATTTTGCATGAAAAAAAAGTATTAAAATTTTGCAGGTTGCTTTGTTAAGCATGCATTGCAACCATGCATGTGATTTTTCCTCCTATTAATGATCTTAATGTTATCTTTCTTCTTTTGTGGAAACAATAGAGGGCCTGAACTTCTTCAATTAGAGTTCATTATCAAACACCTAAACTTTCGAAATTAAACCTTAATTTTTCAATTTCATTTGTTTTGTGTTAACTTTACAATTCAACTAGTAAAGGTGAAAATAAGATACGCAGATTTTTAGGAATGTATCATTGGACTTGTTTAATATACAGGCTAGCCAAGTTTTAAAAAAAGGTTTAATTAGTTAAATAATTTTATTTCAGGCCTTTAAAGTAGGAATTAAAATAGATTTCACAAATTTAAAAAGTACAAAATAAAATTCTATGTTAAGTTTATGTTTTATATTTTATAAAAGAGTCCGCTTTTTCTGCAGTTAATGCAGATAAGTTATCTGCAGTAAGTCCAATACGACGTCGTTTTGGGCGAAAATCATGGTATTTTTATAATTTTAATTTATTTCAGGGTTATAATAGTCTTTATATTTATAATTTTTTAAGATTTCAATACCAAAACGATGTCGTTTTGAGAATAAATGCAGATAACTTATCTGCATTAACTGCAGAAACATTTTTCCCTTTAAAAAACAATCTAACTTATTTATAATACAAAGTCTAATCTTACCAAACTTATTTTACGCCTATTAAGTATATATTACTTCCACATTTAGAAAATGTAAAGACTGACTGGTCTTACAAAAAAACCTTAACTTTTAAGGGGATTCAACTTTGGATCAAGGGTATATCGTTAAAACTTCTTAAATAAAAGCCATTGCTTATTTAAAAGGTATACTGTTTTTCCCCGTTTTGGTTACCAAATCATAAAACTTAATGTCATGATGAAAAGTGTCAAATACATATATATTTTTTGGGTAATATTTCTGTCATTTAACACAAGAGAAGTTTTTTTTTCCAACAGTAACAAGAAATAAAAAAAAGTACATACACTTGTTTTTATGTCTCCGTGATATAAGATTCCCAATTTTTTTAATAGAAAAATACATATATTTATTATATGCTCATTATCTTACGTCTTACATATATATTATATATTCACAGCTTGATGTGAGAAATTGCGAGGGTACGAGTGTTGTGAGCTTTATTATATAAAATATAAAGACTTTTGCTCTAATTTGTTTGAGAAACAACGGCTTTGCGGCTATGAGTATGATTGTAAGTCACTGTCACATGTATGTCTGGAATTCGTTATATTGGGTGTGCCTCATTTGCCAGTGATCTATTATTTGTTGTTTTTATAGTTTTGTGATTTTGTCTCTGTCCTCGCCAATTAGTAGAAGCATGCATGGATTTGCTAAGATATATCATCAAACTTTATCACATTGCGAGATCTTAGTATTATTAGCAATTTTTTTAATCGAAAGTATTATTATATAGTATATTAAGGGCGACAAGAAATGAAAATGTCAGAGAAGAAAAAAATTGTATAGCCTTTTCGCCCAAAGCATATATTTTCTTTTGAGTTTTATATATGTTATGTTGTATGACACTTTTAATATCATGTTACTTTAATACATTTGATGTAAGTCTCATTCAAAAAGAAAAAAAAAAAAAAAAAAACAAGACAAATTTCATTTATCATGTAAAGGTAACATGACATTGAGAATATCATGTAACATGATATATATATATATATATATATATATATATATATATATATATATATATAAAACCCATTTTCTTTCATTTAAAGGTTGAAAAAGTTGTGCTCATGAATAAGCACTATGCAAAAATATTGTTCAAGAAAGTTGTGCGTGGCTTAAGGAGTCCAAAAATTTCTGGTAAATCGCCACTTGTCCTCGGTCGTCACTTCAAATGTTGTGTGGGGGATTGTGATTTTTGTTTCTCCACGCAACCTTATCATTTCTCTTTGGAAAAAATGGGCATTGCTGATTGACTCTTTTATTTGAATACCTTGCTGTCATCCCAAATATGAGTAACAAAAAAGTTTCCTTTTTCCATTTTTACTCTTTTTTTGCTTTGCTTACCAACCGATTTTAAGAACACATTCTTTAATACGCTTTTTAACACATTTTTCTATTGTTGATTCTATTTCATGTGGATTTCACTAAATAAAAAAAGTGAGTTTAAGTTATTTAGTAAAACTCATAAAATTTATTTAAGAATAAAAATACATTAAAAAGAATATGTTCTAAACATTTCTCCTGTTAAGTTTGTTAATAATTCAATCATTTCTGAAACACTCTCCCAAGTTTTTTTTTTTTTTTTTTTTTTTAATGGTTGGTGCCTTAATTTATTGAATGTTAGGCTGGAAGGATTGTCATATGTGATAATTCAATGCTTTTTTTTTAATTGTGGAGTGATTTTAGAATTTGGTCCTTCTAAAGTGGGAGATGTTATTTGCAGAATAAAATGTAAGATTATAACCATTTCGCACTACTTTCTTTTTTCTTCAAAAAATATATTACTTATTTTAAATAAGTCAAATCTATTATTTTATCCCTTAATCATTTCCTTCTTAGTCAATTGTGCAACCAATTAAGTTGTAGAGAATGCTACATTGTTTTTTTTTGTCATTTACACCTTTAGAGTCACTCATCTTATTCATTTGGATTTTCGCGCGGTGCCAATCAATATGCTGAGTGCGCGGGCCAAGAGATTGACCTAGTTTTCGGCTGTATTGAGCTCATAATTTAATGTTTGAATTTTGATTGGTTACTTCTCTCCACGGTGCCGGATCTGTATTCTTTCATTTAAAAAAAATGATATCATACGAGAAATCATAATTATATAAAAAGTTGATTAATGATAATAAAAAAGATGAAAAAAATTTAAAATATATAATTACAAAATTTTAACAATTGATTTGCTTTGTATGGTTGTAAATTTTTCACATAATCTTATCATACTTTTTTTCTACATGAAATGATCCATTTCCCAGAATAATTTTTTCATGTGATACGAGTTCATCTTAGAACATTTCAACCATCTAAATTTAAATTAAAATAATAATAAAATATAAATTAAGATAGAAGATAACATTCGCATATGTATAAGTAATAACTTTATGTCATATATATTCTAGTGGGTGATCTCAGCAAGTGATCGACACTGAATAAGTTGAGCTGGAAAAAAATAATAAAAAAACGACCAAATAAATTTAAGGTGTTTTGGTGGGGTAAAAAAAAAAGTAGAAAAGAGGAACGGATATTTCCACGTTATCCCTCCATTATTATATATAATACGGGTTAGGTAGACACTGCATATCATAATCATTTCATTCATGAATAGAAGTATTTTTTGGATGCAATAAAAATAATTTTTTAGAGTTAGAGATAAGTGTATTTTTGATATAAGTTACATATTTTACATGTTTAAAGTTTAATGAAGTGCTTATAGATAGTGATTAGTGGGCAGTACCAAAAATAATATATTTTTTATCTGAGTTTAAAATATTAATTTATTAAAGTAAATCTATTTTATTATGAATACTCAAATTGATAATTGATAAGTTTAAGCTTGTGTGCATACTCAAAGTTTTATATATTCAATAATGTCGTATCAAATTTTAGCAGCTACCCTTTTATTGCGGGCTCAGTTTTCTACCTGTATTCGTGTTAGTACCTTCTTATTCATAAATATTACTGTCATCGACACATGGGTAACATAACATCTTTACATTTATTAGTGTAGCAATGAAACTTATGTAAATTTTAATTTCTCTGAAATGATAAGAATTATACATGTGAGGCAGTAGTCTCTTGCTTAGTGCCAATTAAAATGTGGGAGTTTTAATCTTCTTACATACATTTGGCTTCTATCTTCTTTCCTCCTCTTCTCTTCGACTACTAAAGATAAAGATAAGTATATGAAAACCATATCCCATTCTATTAGGAATATTTAATTCTCATTCTGATTGATTATGAAAATTACATTCCGTTATACTAAAAATACATAATTCTGATTTTACAAATATTATTTATTATGTTATACACACCTTATATAAATTTTTCTAGTAATAAAATATATGATATTCTAGAAAAATACAATATTCTCTCAATATATTTGTACTACGTTATCCTCATTCCTACTAAAACAACATATAACTTAATAACTTAGCAGGCTCATCATAATTTTTAAAAAGAAAGTTAATTAGAAAATTCAAGGTTTATATGCAAGTTATGCCAGGTGTGTGTAAACAATTGGTGAGATTTGATATACGCGACTTATGATTATTATAATTCATTAGCTAATCCGTCCATTATGCTTTTGGCCCGTGATTTTAGTCACCAATCACTTATAAGTCTTCTTGTGGTCTTATGTCGGGATAATATATTTACCATTAATTAAGTTTATTATTAAATTTTAGTCATTAATTTTCGTTAATTTGATTATTGTAATTTATTGATAATTAATAATTAAATAGTATTCAATAAATTACAATCGTTAAATTGACAATAATTAATAATTAAAATTTAATGATAAGAGATAGCATTAATTAAGTGGATTATGTCAAATGGTGTTGGCAGTCAATTTTTAAGCCATTGATAATATATACATATATATATATATATATAGAGAGAGAGAGGGGTATATATTTTGGATTTTATATATTTCTCTTGTGTCACATAAGATAAATCTTCTCTTCTACTCTCACTTTGATTTTTTGTGCTCTCTTTTTTTCTCTTTTTTTTTAAAAAATAAAGTGAGTTTTACCATTTATTGTGAGAGTAAGAGAGAAAATTTATCTTATGTGACATAAGAAAAATAAAACCATATATTTTTTATTGTGATCCTGTATTTAAAATTTATCTTATGTGCCTGATTGATAACTATTTTGTAAAATAGTTTTTTGTTTATAATAAAAAAACTTGTTTGGTAATGTATGTTCCGAAAAATGCTTCCCAAAAGACTCTTTTTAAGTTTTAAAAATCAAAAAATCAAAACATCCTTGTGATGTTCTCCAGTGCTGTGTTCTGTTTTTTGTATTTAGGCGGTGGCAAAATCGTAAATACCAGAATTTATTAATGGCAATTTCGTAAAATTAGGATCAAAATAATTACTTTATGATGGCATTTTTGTAATTCTAAAAGTTCATTAATAGCATTTTTGTAAATAATTATAACTTTAATTTAATTACACTCAAACAAGTTTTTTTGTTTTTTTACTCACAGAATCAATTTTTAAAATTCATATTTAAAACTGTTTTGAAAAAAAAAAAAAAAAACTAAAAGACTTTCAAATACAACCTTATACTACAAATCCAGTTTTGTTTCTCTCTCACATCATTTAAATGATGATTTGACAACGTCGGAAACTGCTTGAATTTGTTTTTTCTTCCCTCTCACAGTTTCTTCTTGTTCTTGTTATAGGCATTACTTTAGTTTCTGTCTTCATTCTCTCCTTCTGCTTTGTCCATTTATAACCATTAGTGATGAAGCAACGGTCAACGAACAAGCAACAGGTACTGTGTCTCTCTACACTGAGCTTTGTGCAAGTTGGTGTCTTTTGGTGATTGTTCATTTTGGGTTGAAACATGTTTTTTCTCTTTTTTTTGGGTTGGTCCTGCATGCAGCTCTTGTGGGCAAGAATGGTTATGCGCAAATGGCTTAACATGGGTAGCAAAGAGTCTGATTACAGTGCTGACCCTGATGATGATGATGACCCTGAAAGTGATTCAGACAATGAAGGTCAGTTTATACAGCAATGCTTCTATTGTCATTTAAGTGTTTTGTGTTTTTGTTTGAGTGTATGTGGGTGTAATATTCATTTGAAGATTGGAAATTTGTCTCTGCAAAATTTAATTAATTTTATTAGATTTTGGGACTTGAGGATCATGGTTCATGTCAAATGATCTGTAAATTCAGAATTGAGATTGTTTTGGACACTTAATAGACTGTGTGTGAAGACTCTTTTTCAGTTTGGTTGTTTCTGTGATCTTTCTCAATTTGAATTGGGTGTAATATACAGAAGGGGGAAGACAGTCGCGGTTTAGGGACAACAAAGGCGATGATGAAGCTCCATCTGAATCTAATGGTGATTTTTTTTTTTCATATATGAATTTCTAGTTTATCGAATGAGAACTGATAAGTTTTACTAATTTTCTCTTACATACTTTAAAGACTGGCATAAGGTTTTTCAGTGGGAGTTCTGAGACTGGGAATTTACTGTTGCTTAATTGTCAGTTTAGATAGTTCCTCCTGTAATAGGCCGTTGGAAACTACTGAATTCCCTAAACTTAAATTGAGATATAGAACCTAACGTTCCATGTTTTGAGAAACGAATAAATCTCATAAATATTGCAGTAATATAAGCATGAACTCTAAATACTCACATTTCTGTTTAGTGGTATGTAATTTAAAATAGTAACATTGTTAGATTATTGCTGGCATGGAAACTTTCTTCCTTGTTGAAAAGGGCTAATCAGTTATAACATAAACTCATGGGAAAATGGGTGATTATTGTAAAGGATGCATGTAAGTTGTGTCATTTTAGCTTCTTACAATTATGGATTTTGGGGAGTATATAATTATAATATTTAAGTTGTCTTTTTTTTTTCTCCTCAGAAGCTATCGGAAATTGGAAAAAAATACAACTTTAATATTATAACTATGTATTCTCCGGAGTATGTAGGATTGTATGCTGCAGTTTCAATTACACAATGTATATTAATCAATTGTTTATCTTATTTTTTCCTCTATTACGAGAATTGCAAAGATTTACTATACTGCTTTTTGCGATTGCATTTATCAAGCCTCCTAAATTTTGTGATGAATTGCAGAATTTCTTCCAAGGTTAAGGAGGCAAAAGTCATTAACTTCTAGGTCTCAGTATATAAACAAGAAGGAACTGAGGTGAGGCACTGCTCTAGTGTTTATTTATCGAGCAAGGGCAGACTTTAGTTGCAATGATTTGAAGGTGTAGAAAGCATAGTTTATTTTTTGGTATTGCTCAAGCCTCTCATAGTTGGATTCTGGTGTATATTTGTCTCTTAGAGTATGTGTTGGGACATGGAATGTTGGAGGAAAACTTCCACATGATGAGCTAGATATTGATGATTGGATAGGCATTAATGAACCAGCTGATATCTATGTCCTTGGGTAAGTTGTTCTCTGCTTCTATATTGTATATACACCTGAATACAATGTCATTTTGTAATCACTTTTAATATATTTTTTTTCTATAACGTGTGAAAAGTCAATTCAACCCAAAAGTTTAAGCTCTTATATGAATGTAACATTAATGGTTTTATGTTATATATCTATAACATAATCGCTTTTCTTTCATGCATATGGAGATTGGTCCCATTACTTAGACTAACAAGTTGCTTTTACAATTGCAGTCTTCAAGAGATTGTACCCTTAAACCCTGGTAACATTCTTGGTGCTGAAGACACTCGCCCTGTACCAAAATGGGAAAATATTATTCGGGAAACACTGAATAGAGTTCAACCAAAATCATCAAAGGTGAAATCCTTCAGTGATCCTGCATCTCCATCAAAATTTAAGCCATCAGGTGACGTCCCGGACATAGAAGAAGAAATGTTACTTGAAAGTGATAGTGACATTGGTGAGGAAGTTCATCCTTTGGTTGAAGAACAACACAATGTTTATGATGGTGGCACTGATAAACCAATCACAGATGAGGTCTTGAATACAAATTTACAGGCTTCAGATGACCCTGATTTACTGAGACAGTTTTCTTATCCAAAGAGGTTGAATAGGCTAAACTGTTTCCGTGATGAATATTTGACCAAAGATGTAGAAACATCATTTGGTCAACAGAGCAATAAGCTATCTAGAATGATTAGTGGTTCTGAAAGGATGGGTTTGAATTGGCCAGAGCCACAACTACATCTGTTATCTCAGCCAGTATTGGAGAGACCAACTTCTTTTAAATCTATCAAATCCTTTAAAGCATCAAAGTCTTTCAAAACATATAGTTCTTTCAAGCCATCTATAGATGAAATAGGTTTGCTTGCTGAAATTGACCTTGAAGCTTTAATGAAGCGGAAAAGAAGATCATCATATGTAAGGATAGTGAGCAAACAAATGGTTGGGGTTTTCATCACTATATGGGTACGTAGGAGCTTGCGTAAACATATTCAGAATGTGAAGGTTTCAACTGTTGGTGTTGGTGTTATGGGCTATATTGGTAACAAGGTCTTTTTCCCTTTCTTGAGAATATACATTTTTTATTTTTATGAGTTGATAACCATCTGATTAATGTTATGGTAGCTATTAGATAATAAGAAACTTTTTTTTTTTAATTTTTCAGGGATCAATATCTATCAGCATGTCTGTATATCAGACCCTTTTTTGTTTTATATGCACCCACCTTACAGCAGGTGAAAAGGAAGGAGATGAACATAAAAGAAATGCTGACGTGCGTGAAATACATCAAAGAACCCATTTTCATTCAATTTCTGATATTGGACTTCCCAGGAGCATCCTTGATCATGAGTGAGTGCATATCTTATATACCAAACATGATATTTTTTAATAGATCCTTCTGTAATTCTGTATTTACATGTTCTGTCTAAAGGAATTATAATCACTTAATCAATTCCAATTTATTTGCAGAAGAATAATTTGGTTGGGTGATCTGAATTACCGTATCAACTTGTCATATGAGAAAACAAGAGATCTTATATCAAAAAAGCAGTGGTTCAAATTGGTTAAGGAAGACCAGGTAATAACATAGAAACTCTTGCATTGGTTGTGTACTTTATAAGAACCTTCCTCTGAAGCACAATTTAGCTGGGTCCAATATGCTGCTCTGGTGAGAAATAACCATGGTATTGAAGCAAAAAAATTAAACTACTGGGATGACACAATTTATTAGTGGCAAAAAATTGTAATTTTAATAGCCATACACTAGTTCGTGAAGAATTCTATTTCAGTTTATACTAGTTGGTGAATCTAGTTGTTTCTTTCTAACCTTATATTAATAGAAGAGGATGTAATAAAATATGTATGACAAGTCTTCCAAAGAACTACTGATGGTTTTACCCAACTGTATAAAATTATCTACATATTTATGCAGGTGATTTTACAGCTTTGTCATTTTATTTTGAGGATCTGAATTTGTTATTGTAATTATCTTTTCAGTTTTAAACTTTGGTCTTAATTTAAAATCAACTCTTTTTTGGTGTTATTAACACATTTTGCCAAAAAGAGAACAATGTCTCTGTTAGGAACATTTTTAGTGATTTCATGCAAGTAAAATTTCATATGATATTTAACCAATGTATCCTTGTTGCACAATTAGAAGGGGTGTTTTGAAGTAGCAGGTTCCCTGTATCCATGTCATAGTGGACCTGTTAATTCCATCCTTAATGCATCCTAGTTGGACCAAGTTATTTAACTATGCTCCATAGTCCTTGTCATTGTTCACTTTAGTTGCATGATTTATGAAATACGGAAAGTTAAAGGTTCAAAAAAGGAACTCAACTTGTAAGCTGACTGGTTTAGCTGTTTAGTATATTGACATCTTATTATGACAGCTTATGAAAGAACTCCAGAAGGGTGTATTTGATGGATGGTCAGAAGGCATGTTAAACTTCCCACCAACTTATAAGTACGAGACTAATTCAGAGAAGTACTATGGAGAGGACCCAAAGGTTGGAAGGCGTACACCAGCATGGTATGGTTGAGTTTGTTGTGTTTATATGTTTATTTATCTTCTAAACTACCATTGTTTTCTCGAATTGCTAAACCGAACTATTGTTAGGAAAATCAGGTACTAATAATTGTTTGTCATGAATACACTCAAAAGTCAAAATGAGGTGTGTTAGACTTTGATTGTGCCAAGCATAAATTTTAGGTAGAAATCTAAACAGATACTTCTGGAGAGTCATTGAAAAGGTCTTTCTTGAGATATTTGGAAAATGCTGATACCATCAAACTAAGTTATTGAAGATGAAGATGTATTACTTTATCATGTCCTTAAACCTTCATGGTTTGAGAATATGATACATGACATTTTTTATAAATGATTTTTCTTTATAATGTTTGCAATCACCTTTCAGGTGTGATCGTATTCTTTCATATGGCAAGGGAATGAGATTGCTGAGTTACAGAAGGACTGAGCTAAAATTTTCAGACCATAGACCTGTGACTGCCACATATATGGCTGAGGTTGAGGTGTTCTCTCCAAGGAAGCTACAACGAGCCCTGACATTCACTGATGCAGAGATTGAGAATGAAGAAGTCATAACAAATTTAGTTAGCTGGAATTTAGTCGCATAATCTGGACAGGTGAATTGCTTCATATAATAAGCATATCTTGATTGCCTAAAATTTGAATTAACTATTCTTCCTCTCTGCTTTCCCCTTGTCCCCTTCTTCCATCCCTACTCAATCATCATGTAGAGAATTGTCATCCCTATAAAAACACAACTCAAGGTAGCCTATAGTGAACTACCAAAAGTTTTTTTGTCTTGGCCATATCAACACCTATTCTGATATTAAGACTATGCCAACATTTATTCATATTTGATCAACTCATTGGCTAGCAGTTTTTGCCTCCTATTGCCGAATACCTCAATGTCTTGACATTCAAACCTGAAGTATCGTATTTTATTTTTGTTCTTGTTTTCTTGAAAGGCCTTAATATTGGTTAGATTTCAAAACTCATATAAAAAGATAAAATTTTCTTTCTACATATAATATTTTGCTAAAACTGAAACGTTTGTAATTGTCTTGTTTAGCTATCACTGGATTCCAACAATTACAACTCAGTACTAAAATCAATACTAGATTGCATAAATATGACAAATTAATGCATACAGATTATAGACAATAAATAGAGCACAAGCCTGAGAAATTCCATTACAAGGGTTCAAGAGCTATTTCAAATCTTCACGAGTGCATATAAAAGTCACCAGCTTGTACCTTATAACATATCCCTACTGTTATGACTTGTCCAATTCGGTTGTTACCATGGGATTGCAACATCTACTACTTGTCTAGGGTTCATATATGGTTATCAATTTGAATATATTGAACATCTAAATAAAATAATACTCCTGACGTATGTCCATAATCTTTACTTTCTGGTGCAGGGTTACAGTATGAGTTCTGAATGAAGTATAGTATTTACAGAATTTGAAGGAGGAGCAAAGACAGCTATTGCAACTTCTCATTCACACTGCCACTACTATACATTAGATTTCTTCATTTGATTTGATTTTTTTTTTTTTTTTTGTAAATTTTTGAGGTCAATGCTTTTAGAGAAAATAGTTGTATGATTTGTGTATAAGGTATCTTACGAATATGATTTAAAGCTAGTTGATAGATTGGCTTATGCTGTATATTTTTTTACTGCTATGGTGTGATATGCATTGTATGTAAGACCTTTCATGGAAGCTTTCTATATGATTATAAAAATAAATAGAAAGCAAATGTGTCTGAGATGGTTGGTTCCCCATGTTCAAAATGCTGTCTCCAGCTTTGACATACTCCATGCATTTTCAATTTCAAGGCAGCACCACAATACAGCTTTGCTGAAATATATAAATTCTCCAGCTTTTACATTTGTTTTCTCTTTTATCTTCCTTGTTTTGTTAATTTTCCAACAAATTTTTCATCATCTATTCGTTGCCTGGTAGTTTGACAGTATTAATGTTATACAGAGATGGTTGCATTGAGTGAAAGTTGTATTTGACTATTTGCAGCATGCATTGAGTTGATGCATATACAGAATGCATAGGGTAACCTTTCTTATTCTGTTTTCTTATTTACAAATACTTTTTTGTTATATCAACGTAGGATTTAGATTCTCTCATATCAAAAAGTGGTCATGTGATTATGTTTTTTGATAAAAATCATATATTTTTATCTTTTTTATCTCATTATCAATGAATGGTTGCGATCAAATAACATAATTACGTCATCACTTTTTCATGTGAAAAAATACACTCCCATCAGCGTATCATGTTACACCCCCTCAACTGCCCACCAAGGCCTTAAGATAGGCTAGCACCGATACCGACACAAGACACGTGACACGATACACTCTGACACGTAAATTCTAAAAAATATTAGATTTCGACACGTTAGGACACGTTTTTTTTTTGGACATTACAGGGAATCGAACCGCACACCTAATACACCCTAAACACACCCAACACCACTAGGCTATCCCTAGTGGGACACGTTTTGATATCAAATAATATTTTTAATTTATATAGTGTATATTATATTTAATATTCAATAATTAAAAATAAAATAAAATTAAACTTAAAATATTCATCAATTTTGCAAAGAAACATAAGATATCCTAAATATTTATATTAAATAGTAATTGTAATCCAACGAATTTAATAGTTGGAACTAAAAACTCAACGCAACGCAACCTTTGAACTTTTTTTGAATTTATATAATGCGTGTTGAAGTGTCGGGGAGTGTCGGAGTGTCGGACACGACACGTAGAGTTTTTGAACTTTTTTTGAATTTATATAATGCGTGTTGAAGTGTCGGGGAGTGTCGGAGTGTCGGACACGACACGTAGAGTTTTTGAAGTGTCGGTGCTTCCTAGGCTAGCACAATGATAGTAGGGACCATCTAAAAAATCTAATATAATATTATATATACATCACACCAATAGGAGCATAACACATTAGCTGATATATTTTTTAAAGAGAAAAACATTTTCTTTTTAATATTATAACTTTTTTTCCGAAATATATAATTTATAATTTTATTTTAAAGTACAATTATATCCGGTGCTCAATATAACGATAGTACCGAAGATGTTCTCGGACTACTGGCCGGAGGTACTGCGCTAGCTCTTGCCTATTATCTCTGCCGATAGAATTACTAGCTCCATTACTATACACTTTCGTTCGATACTCGAACAGATATTATAACTAATTGAATGTTAATTTTTATAATAGTAATATCCAAAACAATTAGCGTCATGAAGTTCAATCACTCCTTTTTATTTAGTGTCGGTGCTGGATAGTTTACTCTGTCAACTAATTTAGTTCACTTATATGGCTTATAGTTTGATTTCATTATAAAATTCAAGAGATAAAAAAGAGAAAATAGGATGAACGCGCACTTTTTGTTTCACAAAATTAACAATTTCAATTAGTAATTGGGAGTAAAAGTAACATCACTAAAAGAGTTTAACTAGGATAATAATAAGAGGTTTAACATTTTTTAATTATCTAACAACACATGACAAGAACAATTGATTCTTTGGTTGAGTTTGCGGAAACAAACTGGAATTTAGTTATCTTTTGGAATAGTAGGATACATTGGGATTAATTTTTTTTTTTATGTTGTAAGTAATAATTTTATCTCTTACATATATAAAAAAATGTGTGAATGACAAACACTATTTCAAGCCAAAACCTAGATTTGAAGCGTGGATAATTGGATATGACATAAGCCCATTCCCACCTGAAAGTGAGTGTGATGAGGATCGAACTCGTGACCTCCTGATCACTCCAGCTCTGATATCATGATAAGAACCAATTCAATTCAAAATTTTAAGACATTATGTGAGACTTAATTAATTATTTTGTATCTCTTTAACACCCTCGTATGCAGTAGCTCTTTTTTTGGGCTTGAAAAGTGGACATGACACAAGTCTATTTTTTGATCTACCTTGTGTTGCACACACCCATTTTTTGATTTATCCTCCTAGTCACTCAAGCTTTGATATTATGTAAAGTGCTAATTTAACCCAAAATTTTATTGTGTTTGGTGAGGATATATTAATTATTTTGTATCTTTTTGTAATTCTCTAATAAACAACATTAACTTTACCAGAATATTTATATTATATACTTATTTGTATGTTAAACGGAAGTGTGTTAAATATCCTCTTACCCCTTCAAATTTCATGCCTTCCTTGTATGTTAAATATACAAAGTGTATTAAAAAATGATTGACCTAGTGGCATTCCACTTAGATATCAGGATTTGACGTGTCCAAAAAGTAATGGATTTGATCATTGACAGTTACAATTTTTGAATTAATTGAAGTTATTAGAAACCTGTTGATATCTACCATAACATAGAACTTAATTAGTACTTGAAATTCTGCAACATCTAGCACAATAAGAAAAGACCAATGAATAATTTTTATATTTTCATATTATATTTCTAATACCTTTCATGGTTTTATTCTATATAATAAGAGTATATACAGTATTTGATAACCTCCATCTTTTTTGCGTAACATTAACCTTCAAATCTATAATGTATTCCATTTATCCCAGGTTATTCTATGGTTTGCACATCCTTGCTTTGAATGATAAATAATGGTGGAAAAAACAACTCGTAATTGGTGCAAAACCCGAAAAATAATAAAAGAATAACAATTCCCAAATAGTGTGCCATAAAAATCGCTTCAGTGCATATACATTTACATGATATGATTACGCCGGATTTGATGGAAACATGCGAAGGAGAATGGACCTAATGCCTCGACAAGCGCACCATTAGATCAGTGTGATCTTATGTATATAATATGATTTCCCAAATGAGGTATTTTTAATTTAGTACGTGTAGTGTATTCAATAAACACTAATTATTCAACCCGATAACTTTGCGAGTTTTTTTTTTTTTTAATTATTGTATTATGGTTTTAGTAGATCGGTATATCACAACTTAAAATATATAAAAAAAAATTCTGTTAAAAATAACTTATAATCAATTCATTAGGAGTTAAAAGACTTGATAACGTTTACCAAAAAAAAAAAAAAACTTGATAACAATCAAATAATAATAGTTCAGTCGTCGACGTATGAGAGCTGAGCAGTTGAGGTGAGAATATGTATTCTATCCTCTTCAAGTATATCACCTTTAGAAGGGGTTTAAAATTTATTCCTGAACTCACCCTGAATTGAACTAATCAAGAAACGATAAACTAATGAAATATTTAAAAAAAAAAATAAAAGACTTGATAACTTGCATAGGGTTATAAATAATGGGTTTTATAATTCTCATTTAACATGAGAATTACAATTTTCCTACCCACCCTTCGATTTCCGTGCTGACATGGGTCCTACATATAATTTTTTCTAACACATGAGTCTCACATGTTTTTTATCTCTACAACATGAGATTTCAATTCTGCTTCAACATGAGAATTATAAAACCCATAAATAATATATTTCCAATCCCTTCTGTCCATCTAGTCCAACATGATTTTTAATATGCAACTTGCAAAAAGAGTTACCAATGATCATAATTATTTGAGCAAATTGCAAAAAGAGTGGTCAGTGGCTTCTCAGAGTCCCACACCTATTTCCTGTAATATCAAATCAACGAATAGTTCAACCGAAACGATTCTTTGACAATGATCAACTTTATTTAACTCCATGCTGTGCTCCTCCTCCTGTGCATATACCCACATTCCCTCCATGACATTAAATATCAATATCTCATTTCTACACTTATTTTTTATTTACATGCATATAATATCTTGCAAGTTTAATTAAACTAGACTTGTATTTATTTACATCTCATTTTGGACCTTACATTTATTTTCATATAACAATTATGGAGGAGTTAAAATGATTTCTCACTCGTGGCATTATTCGGAAAAATATTATCTTCCCTATTTGATATACAGTATTATATCTGGGTCGCTGGTGAAGCTACCCGGTTCTTAAATTTAATAATAGAGTTGGAAAGGAAAAAACAAAAATCGTAACTGAACATGACGTGACATGAAACTTGGATGTTCTTTCACACGATAACATTCATTGATTACTTTATATATAGCCGATATAGTGTGTTATTTAATTCGTACGGATTTAATAATAGGAATTAGAGTTCCTTGGAAGATGGTACTTAGCCAAAATGCCAGGCTGCGATGAATCTAGCTAGCGTCATTAACCGAAAGCACGAAGTTGTTAAAATAATTGTCAAAATATATAGTAATGTACGTTACTTCAAAACTCAAAAAGTGAAAAAATAAGATTTTTTTTTTTTTTTTTAATGTTTCATGTATATGTATTGTTCACCTGCATTCTTCAACTAAATAATATTATGCTTAATTTAATTATTAATAATAGTTATTTATATTAATCGATTTTCATGAAATGTAACACTTATTTTGAATATAATTTTTTATTTCATATTAAATGATAGATTAAATTCAGTATTATAATTAGCTATTATACAAATGTAATCTAAATATTCAAATGTGCAAGTGCTGGTATAGGTTCGAGGGTAGATTTTAACATTTCAGTGCGATGCACGATGCCTTAAATGTTCACCTTGATACTTCGTAGAGACAGCTTGAAGGATGAATTAAGTTGAAGTTGCTTTGATGTATTTCGCCATAACCTCCAATTATAATTAAAAAATATTCATATAAGTAGGAAACACGTAACTAGGAAAAATGAACATTATATAATATAAGAATAATTTGTCTTTATTATTATATAAAAAAAAAGCATCATATACTATAGAATCATTACATAAAAAAAAAGAAGCAATAATGCAAGGCCTTTGACTTTACCATCATGATATTATCAAACTGGTGCTGTAATCATCATGTATTATGCAAGGAGCTCACCGACTAAATATTCATGGCACTTTCTCAACCCATTTTTAAAATCCATATACTAAACCACTCCCTCATTCGTTGACCACTCACAATTCCGACCATACCCTACGCAACTTTTGGTTCTCCCTCCACCTTCTACAACGCTTTTGCTTTTTCCTCTATTTTCCAACTTCGAAGTTGGATCACAACCATCATGACAAGTTTCCCTTGATTCCATTCCAACCTTAACAAGAACAAATACACCAAAATATCCTTAAAACTTCAAAAACCATATATGCTCCATTTCCCAATCACACAATTGCATAGCTCATCTTTCTAATTAATTCCTCCTAAGTTTCCAAACCTGGGTCCATTCTCTCCCTCCATTCCTTAGCAACACGTTTATAAAAAACCTTCCAATTATGTAAACTATCCCTTTGTACCTTAAAATCTCCCAAAACAAAAAAACCCAAAAAAATAATTTTTTTTTATCCTTACATTTGGAAAATCATGTAGTGTGTACCCTTTGGTATATTCACTATTTTATCCAAGTATCTATCTTTTTCTAGTTATATTTCACTTGTATTTGTGAATTTTGAAAAAAAGGGAATGGCAGAATCGGAGACAGGGACGCCGACGGCGGCGTCGATGCCGGCAACACCGGATACACCAGGAGGGCCACTATTCACGTCGCTGCGAGTTGACTCACTGGCACACGAGCGTGACTCGTTTACAATGGCTAGGTGCAAGTGTTTGCCGACAAAGGGCAATTCGTGCCTCACTGATTTCTCTGTTGGCGTTCCAATTCCCAATGTGTCCCTCACTCAAAAGGTAACACAACTCTCTCTCTCTCTCTCCCCTATTTTGGTCAACGATTTCCTTTACATTTTTCAGATTTTTGTTTCCCTTTATGCCCTCTCTGCAATTCCATTTAATTTCAAGCTAGCATTGTCATAATTTTAGTTTTTTGTGATATTGGTCAGAAGTGCATGAATTGGATACTAGTAAAAATGTAAATTCATGCAAAATAGGAGATTTTTTTGTATGGTCACACAATATTCATAGGGGGGGTTTCAAGATTCATATATTGTTGTAGATTTATTATTAGAGGTGTAATAGCAAAGCTAAACTTTAGGTTAAATGAGTTAAATTTATTAAAAATATTTTAAGTTTGGTTTGATCCATGAATCTGATACGTGCTAAATTCTAGATTTGACTTGGCTTATTTATAAAAACTTGACCTGAACTTGACTTGATTTATTTATAATTATAAAATATATTTTTTTCAAATTCACATCCCTGTTACAATGCTTGTTTGGCTTTAGGACATGTATGTATCATTGAGAGTGTTCATTGTTCAATAATGGTTTTTATTACAATTTTTTTCATCTTCTATCGTTTAGATATAGGGAAAAATAAATGTAAGAAAATTTTAAGTTCATGTCATAAATAAATTAAGTGTGAGATTCACCTATTTAAAAAAACAAAAAACAAAAAAATGAATGACACATCTTTTCATAATATGTGTAGAAAGAATTTGTTTTCTCACGCAATATGAGAAAAACAAACTCCTATATATATTATTTTTTTATCTTGTTATTATATTACTGAAATAAATAAATTTTTATATTAATTTTGCTTATTTTAAGGATGTGTGGCTTATATTATAAAAATTATTATTATAAACTTTTCACGAATTTCAAGATACTTGTCAGCCTTTTGATTTTTTTTTTATTGACTATACCACATTTGTATATAAAATTTGAAAAATATAAAAAAGTTATTTCATGTTGTTGTAGAAATTAAATTATAAGTGAGACTCATAAATAAGAAGAGAGAATAAAGAATAAAGAATAGTGAGACTCAACTTTTTTTTGTGTGTATAAAAAAGTTATTTATCTCATATAAAATAACATAAGCAAAACCCATAAAATTTATGGAAGTTCAGAATATTTTTGTTTAAGAAAATAAGCTTATGAAAGTTAATAAATTACTATAAAATAATTGTTTTTGCGTGTTTATAAGGTTAAGATCATTTTTTTGGTAATGTATCATACATCTGTCCATAAACAGTAAAAATTTGGGATTTGATAGAAAATACTTAAAATGATATGGATCAAATAGAAAGAAAACTTGTTATCAAAAAAAAAAAAAATAGAAAGAAAACTTTCTCTTTTTTGATAAAAAAAATATATACCCATTTAGATATATCTCATGTATAGAATAAATTTCGCTTTATAAGAGAGAGAGTATCTTTTCGATGATTAATATTGACAAGAAAGAAAAGTAAAATGCTGTCATTTTTTTGGTAGACAAACACTGTTATTTATTTGTTTTGTTTTTTTTAATTTATGAGTTTTATAAATATAATATTGTATGGCACTTCTTATATCATGTCATAGACACGTAAGCATTATGGGTCCCACTGTATAGAACAAGAGAAAAAAAAAATAGAATGAATCTGGCATAAATCGGGTAAGAAAAAGAAGTTGTGTGATGTAACGTGATATTTTTATTTTTCTTAATTTATATGTTTTTACTATTTTGGGATGGAGATGGCATAAATCGGTTGTTGTACAGAAATCAAACTCCACCTTACTTTATAACAAAAGCATTTTCTATAAAAACTGGATTAGCTTAGTATATGCTAATATAAGATTAGATTATTTGACATTTAAATTTTAAAATTAAAACTAAATGATAAACATATAAATATATAGATTAAAAATAAATATGTAATTAAAATTTAATCTAATATTTTAATCTAAATTTGTAATGAAAAACTGATATTTTGAAGTTAAAAAATTAAATCTAAATAATATGTGAAACTAATAAGTATAAATTTTACTTCTATATGATAAGGGGATAATATTTCTACTATTATTATAATTGTTTTTGTTACATTCATAAAAAGAGGTAGTTTACTGTGAGGGAAAATAAAATAAAAATGTTGATAAAAATTATTCTTTTTTATGTGAATATGGTAGAAATAATTTTTATTTTTTTTATGTTAGCCTATTATGTAACAACAAATTACAATGCTTCCAAAGCGGGTTGTGAAGCAATGCCCCAATTTATAAGTAGACAAAAATAATGGGTAGTTAAAAAAAGTTAAAATTTCGTTAAATTGAATTTGAATTGAGCATCGCTCCAAACCTATTAAGCCTATCTGTGTACCTCTATAATAAATACAGTCAAAGTACTGTGGATGATATTAATAATTCTGTCTATATATACATCACCATCCAGCTACATGCATAAAATATTCCTATTAATTAAAAAACTACACGAATCAATTATTTCTATTTATTAAGTTTTTATTTCTTCAAGTGGCTAACTAAAAAAACAAATTAAAGATTCCAATCAAATATATGAGATAAGTTATTATATCTATATTTTTTTCATACATATCTTATCAATCACTTTTCAACGTTATTAGATTAGAATCTCATTTAACCTTTATTTTGTCTCTTTCATTTTAAAATTTTAATCTAACGGTGTTGGAGAATGATAAATAAAGTAAACATGAAAAAAGTAGATAAAATAACGTATCCTCAAATATATTTAGACAATATTTTGGAAAAAACATTAAGAGCGAGTTAAATTTTTGAGAAAAGCTATATTTTAGCCCTTTAAAATTTCGCAAACTATTCAATCGTGGTTGATCAAATAAGAACATGTTTGTAAACATTAAGAAATGGGATAGTATTCGTTTACAATTTTTTTTTGCAAATTACACTAAGTATGACCGGTTATACACTGCATGATTAAAGTATGACCGGTCGTACTTAGTGTAATTTGTAAACAAAAAAGTTTGTAAATATAACTTGTCCCTTAAACAATAATAAAAATAAGAGCCATAAATCTTTTGTTAAAATGAGTGAACATTGTTATTGACTATTGGATACACGAGTGATTTTATTATTATAACTTATTCAATAACTACTTTTAAATCTTAACAAACTTTGATTAAATTCTGTTAAATTTTTTTTGGGCTGGCCCAACAAGACTACTTAAGGTCCATGCCTTACGAAGAGTTTGTGCTTTGCATGGTGAAGCCGAGTTAGTCTGCTTGATGTTACATAAAACAAAAAAAAAACGAAATAGAGTTAGTCCATTTGTTTCACATATTGCAAGTCCAAAGCATAAACTCATTTACTTCCTGTAAACGTGTCTCTGAAAGCGTTATTTCTCCGTTTCCAGCGAGAAATATATGAACCAAACAAGCACTTATAAGTCTGTTTGATAGCTCATCTCTAATAAAATTTTGGAATAGGACACAACTTATTAAAGTGTAATAATATACATATATTATTAAAGTACTACACTTTGATACAACTTTTTTATTGTACAATTTGTACCACATGAACTGTCTTAATTCTTGCATAAAGAATTCAATTTGAACAAACTTAATTGTAACGGGAGTTATGATATAAACATGACCCATCATCTTAGAATTGGCTATTAAACAAAGGAAAATCATTGTGTCACTTTACATTAGATAACTATTTTATTCTCCTCTCATGTAAAAAGTTGTGCATCATTTTTTTCTTTCTTTAATGGGTGGTGAGCTCCACCACAATATGTGTTTATGGTAAGAGATACTTATCTCCAACAACATTAGAGAAATAGAACATTTAAACAAATGTTGGAATGTTGAACAGATTGGAGCAGAGTTTGTGGGAACGTTCATATTGATATTTGCAGCAACTGCTGGACCTATAGTGAACAACAAGTACAATGGAGCAGAGACTCTAATGGGGAATGCAGCTTGTGCAGGATTAACAGTGATGTTCATAATACTCTCAATTGGTCACATATCTGGTGCACACCTTAACCCATCTCTCACCATTGCATTTGCAACTTTCCGGCATTTCCCTTGGGCACATGTGCCAGCATACATAGCAGCACAAGTCTCTGCTTCAATATGTGCGTGTTATGCTCTCAAAGGTGTTTATCATCCTTATCTCTCTGGTGGTGTCACTGTCCCATCTGTCAGCGTTTCCCAAGCTTTTGCAACTGAGTTTATAATCACTTTTATTCTCTTGTTTGTGGTCACTGCTGTTGCTACTGATACTCGTGCGGTGGGTTCATTTCACTTATTGTAATTCATGATCCAATAGTTCTACATTTGTTTTTCTTTCCTTAGTTTATTTTTTTTTTTTTTTTATAATGGATTTGATGGTGGGTATGCAGGTTGGTGAATTGGCAGGTATTGCTGTTGGGGCTACAGTTTTGCTCAACATTCTCATATCAGGGTAAGTAACCTTCATTATTTTATGGAAAAAACGAGTATCATGTTGTAAAAAAATAGTATCACTTTTTTACAACATACAAAAACACATAGGTTCCACTTTTTTTATTTTCTCTTATCATTTTTTTTTCTTTCCTCTCTGTATTTGTGCGTAGGAAAATGATATTATTTTCTTAACAAAAGGAAAACAAACCCCTTACTTTTTATTATAGAATTCAACTTGTTATCACTAGAGATTTTTTTTAACTTCTTTTCTTCTTATAAGTAAAAGTTACATCAAACAGATTTTTACAAAATCACTTAATAATAAAAAGAGCCTTTTTTACAATGAAAGAAAAAACTTCAAAAACTCCTTCTTTTTTAAGTTATTTTAGCTTTTTTTGAAATGTGTATTTTTTTTTGAAATGAACAGCTTTTAAGTGCCCGTTTGGATGAACTTTTATTTCTAAAAAAGTTGTTTTTTTATAAATAAAAGTCCTTTTGAGAATTTTTAGCTGTTTGGATAACAACTTTTTAAAAAAGAAAAATTTAAAATAAAAGTTAAAATGCTGCTTTTTTTTATAGCCAGTAGTTGGTTGCTTTTGAATAAAAATAGAAATTGAAAGATAATATAAATTTTTAAAATATCATTTTAACCTTATCCTATCATACATATTTTATCTCTCCTTATCCCACGATCATGCTTCCTTTATTGTAATTTTTTATATAAAAAGTATTTTTATTTTATTTTAACATCCAAACAATTTTTTCATGTAAAAGTGATTTTCAGATCATATATCCAAACGTAAAATAACTTTACCTTTTAAAAAAAGCAATACATAAAAAGTTATTTTTTTAAAAGTTCATCCAAACGGGTCCTAAGTTAAAGTTTTTTATATAATAATCAATTAGCTTGTAACTTTTTTTTTAAAGCACTTTTTTTAGCTTAAAAAAAAGTGTCAAACAGACTCTTAATCATATTGATATCATATAAAAAATTATTTTAACTCAAAAATTCAAATTTATAGAAAATAATATTAATAACTTTTATATTATATTTCTCTTCGTGATATCATAAGATAATCCTAGTGCTATATATGTATAACAAATTTAATGATTTTTTGTAAGTAAGAAGGATTAAAGAATGATTGAGATGTTATATTTTGTTAGGCCAACAAGTGGTGGTTCGATGAATCCGGTTCGCACATTGGGTCCAGCCGTTGCAGCAGGAAATTACAAGCATATATGGTTATATTTGGTGGCACCAACGCTTGGAGCTCTGGCTGGTGCAGGTGTTTATACGCTGGTGAAGCTGCGTGACAACGAGGCTGAACCGCCACGACAGGTTAGGAGCTTCCGTCGCTAGATTCATCTAGCAAAAACACTGCTCTTCCTCCACCCCCACTTCTACTTGTTTGATATCATACAACCTAATTAAATAAAAAACGTGGGGACTCCTTGTGATTAAATGTGTGAAATAAAGTGTGAATGGTGTGGTTTGTTTTGTGTTGTAATTTATGTAATGGAGTGTTTGTTTTGTGGATGTACATCTTCTTAAGGCTGATTACAGCCATACTCTTTGTATTGTGATTTGTGCGCCTTAATATTAACAATATGTTTTTTGTAATTCCTTCTTTTTTTTTCTTGTCTGTATTTTTTTTTTTTAAATTGTGTTTTTAAACGCAATCAAATACTTGCAATTATTTGTACTCTATAAGCTAAAATTATTAATACGTACCTATATTACATGCATTTAGTTATTAAGTATCTATAAAGATAAGAATTTTAATCCAAACTCCTCCCTGTTTATAAAATATATCCTATCTAAGGAATAAAGTTTAAGCGTTAAATTTTTTCAACAATATATCTTCGTGAAGCCATGGAGGGTTATTAGGTTATCAGGACTTGTTTGGATGAATTTTTTTTATCCCAAAAGTTATTTTATTTAAAATAAGAAAAAAAGCGTCTAAGTTTAATTTGTTTTCGGATACGAACTTAAAAAAAAAAAAAAAACTATTTTTTGAACAATTTTTTTTTTTAATCAAGACAAATTTTTTTTAAGTCAATTCAAACGGCTGTTAATATGATACATAAGGTGGACTTTTGGCGGAGCGGAATTCTCTGTCGGGTTTTTTTTGACCCTTATAACTCTTTATTAATAATTAATTACCAAATTGATTTTTATTGTAATATTTCAAAAATTTAACCCTTTCAAAAAAACATAATACCAATCTGCCCATGTTTGACCGTTGACCACCAAATCTACCCGGGTAGGGAGGGGTGGTTCTTAGCACTGAGAAATTGTTTGAATTATTTACCCGGATAGGAAGGGATGTACCCATAAATCTCCACAACTTCATCTTCATTCTAAGTCATAAGTTTTTGCACACATACACATGAAATAAGTTCCATGTCCAGTGATAACTAGGAGGACTACATGCTAAATTAAACGAGAAATCTTATTAATTTGTACACTTATTAGTTGTTGTCGTCGCGGTTCTTTGTATGAAGAGTTGTCCACCTGTTTGACCAGATGAAGTTAGCGGGATTCGCTCCTGACAAGGTTACATATAATGCATTATTGGATGTTTTTGGCAAGTCCAGACGCCCCAAGAAGGCTATGCAGGTTCTTAAAGAGATGGAAAGTAATGGGCTTTCCCCTACCAATGTAACTTACAATTCATTAATATCAGCTTATGCTAGAGGTGGCTTGTTGGGGGAAGCATTGGAGCTTAAAACCCAAATGCTGGAGAAAGGGATCAGCCTAATGTTTTTACCTACACTACCCTTTTGTCAGAATTTGAGAAGGCCGGAAAGGGATGAGTTTGCCATTAAAATTTTCGAAGAAATGAGAGCAGCAGGGTGCAAACCTAATTTATATGTGTATGTGCAAAAACTTATGACTTAGAATGAAGATGAGGATGTGGAGATTTATCCGAGTACACCTCTCTCTATCCGGGTAAATAATTCAAGCAATTTTCCAGTGCCAAGAACAATATCTGGGTACACCCCTCCCTAGTCGGGTAGGCAAATTTTTAAAAAAAATACCCGGGTAGGAAGGGGTGTACCCGGGTAGGCTTGGTGGTCAACGGTCAAACAAGGACAGATTAATGTTATGTTTTTTGAGGGGGTTAAATTTTTTAAATAATTTATAATGAAGGTCAATTTAGTAATTAATTATTAATAAAGAGTTATAAGAATCAAAAAGCCGTCTGGCCAACATATAAAGTAAAGCTTTTAACTTCCGACGAATAATTTTAATTTTTAAGTATATAACATCATATGATGTATTTATTTTTTGATACATAAATCATATGATGTTATTGATTGTTGGGAATATTACTTATACGTAAAACATTTTTATATGACTATAATTATTGTTTATTTATTTTATATCAATATTAATAATTAAATTTTCTGTGTAAATAATGTTAATTACACATCACATGCCACTAATATTATCCTTATTCTTAATTCTAGTGTTAATGATTTAACATTAATTTGTTGCTTGAAAAAGTCATTTACTGAGAAAAAAAAAGGTTGAAAGAAAAAATAATTCTAGAAGCACGATAGTGACACAGGGCACAGGCTAGAGGATAAAAAGCAAATGGCGGAAAATCATAATAGTATGTACTTTGTTTTTTTCTTATTTTGGAGATATAGTATGTACTTTGTTGAATCTTTTAATGGACCCTCCAATACAGATATTTTGGGTTTAGTGCTTCTGAATCTGCCAACTCAGCTGCAGTAGGGTCAAGTATTGCAGTATCTGTTTACAAAATGAAGATACATTTACGTTTGTTGTTAACTTAGGGTAATTTGGTACACGAATTTTTTTGAATTCTCGAAAAATTAAATTTTTTTAAATTTTAAGTTTTCAGATATTATCATAAACTGAATATAAAAATTATATTTTTAAAAATTGAGATTCCGAACATCAAATTTTTCTCCATATCTAACTTATCGTGTAGAATCCTCTTTCACTAAAGGAATATTTTGTCATTCTTATTAACAACAATTATTAAAATAATTCATATTATCCATACACAAAAAAAAAAATAAAACTAAACTGGTTTTTACATTGTATATCATTTATGATATATTAATTATTTATTTGAGTAAAATAAATAATACTAGCTAGACTAGAAAAAATACATGTATAAAATATACTTTTAATGACATTTTACACACACACACATATATATAATTTAAAAATAAAATTTATTTTGTAAAAATAAATCCTTGATTAATCTTAAAAAATTATTATTAGGATATATATATAATTTAAAAATAAAATTTATTTTGTAAAAATAAATCCTTGATTAATCTTAAAAAATTATTATTAGGATAAAAAATAGAATAATATTGAATTTAAGACCAAATTTGAAATTTCTTATTATTTACAAACTTCAAAATAGTAGAATATAATTTATTCGGAAAAAAATTTGTTTATAAATTTTTGCAAATTATACTATGTATTCCCCGGGAGAAAATAGTGTGACCTAGTATTTTCCCGGAAGAACATAGTATAGTTTGTAAATAAAAAGTTTGTGAATATAACTCTCTCCTAATTTACTCTGGACAAAAATTTCCATTAAAAGAGAAGAGGGCAAACCTTGTTAGACGAGACAATTTAATCAATTTAGGTTTTATTAAAACAACAAATAGGTAAATAATATATGCACCATTAAGAAAGTGTAGTCAAAGTGGTTAATACCAGATCATAACCTCAACCATTATTTCATGTGTAAGGATGGAAGAACAAATCTGGTAGATCTGCCTAAATTCATACCCCATCGATCTTGTTCTTTATGCAAGTAAAGTGGTAAGCTATTTCAAACAACAAAAACCACTCATTCTCAATTTCAACCCCAACTCAATCCCAAAAGAGAGGGATTGATAAAACAAACTTTAATTAAAATTTATCAGAAACTCATCACACATTGTTGGTGATTAGATATTATTTACAGATATGGTGCAGCATATATATCATGCCTTTAGATGTTATTAATAAATTATATACTAAGATATGGTGCAGCATATATATCATGCCTTTAGATGTTATTAATAAATTATATACTAAGATATATAGCTTGACTAAGACATCAGAAGCAATCACGTGTAGTATGCCAGCGAACCATTCACAGTTCCGTCTTGGGAAAAGATGCTTGGTGAGTCCAGTAAAGTAGGCTTTCTTAACCGGTATTGCTGAAACCTTTGCCTTGCATACTCCTTGTAGTCAAAGTCAATTTTATTCACGTAACTCTGCAATTAATTACAAGCAAAACATCTATGAGCATACTAAGCTAACAGCCACAAGTAACCCTCTTTAGAATAAAAGACAAACCCTAGTGCACAAGACTCCTTCACTTGTGAGGTCTAAAGTGAGAGTCGATTGTACACAGCTTTACCCTTGCATTTTTGCAAAGAAGCTGTTTCCTAAACTCAAATTTGTGACCTTCCGATCACAAGGAGCAATCTTACCGCTGCTCCAAGGCTCGCCCTCAAGTAACCCTCTTTAGAAACAACAAATGAAAATAAAAACCTTACCGAAATAAGCCCCCACAAGCCCCAAAATACATGGCTTGCAAGAGTGTATTTTTCTGAAGCATTCACTAACCGGTTCACTTTAGCATTGCTTGCTTTCTTGCCTGTGTACAACAAGTTGCCAAAATAAATTTGAGAGATATGTAAGAGTTTTTGTATTCCTTGCATTTATGCATATGCAAGCCTATAAAGTGAAGAGGAATAGTTCTTTCTTATTTCTTTATATTGAAGATGGTTTGGATTGAAGATGCTAAAAGTGTAGAAACAGTCTATAAGGTAAGCTGAAGTGATATAAGAAGTCAACCTAATAGAACAGTTGATTTGTTCATTTCACTGAGGGTTTTTATCAGCTTGCAATAGATTAATAGCAATTATCTATATATCTATATCTCTTTAAATCATATTACTGATGGAGTGAATAGGTCATTGGACTAACCTTCAGAGCTGAGATAAATACGGATAAACATTTGACGCTCCTCTAGTCCTGATTAACCATATCCAAATTGGTGTGTTAGCAAAGCAGAGTGATCTCAATAAAAATAAAATAGCAACACCAAATAATCATTGTAGAAATGTAATTTGGGCAGTGAAAATACCAGGATATTTACTGTAGTCAAGAACATGAGGTGTGTCACTATGGTAATCTGCCACCATTTCACAGAAATGATTTGCTAGGTCATACGCAATTGGATTGTAACTGGCGTATTCGTAGTCCTGTATCATTAAACAGATTAAAATAGGAACAGAAAACAAGTGTAATGTAAAAGATGACTGATGAAAGATGAAAGATGAAAATAAGTTCATAATTCTTATGCACGCACAACTTTCAATGGGTAGAGAAATTATAAGATAAATCAAGACCACTGCAAATACCAAACCCAAAGATTGAGTTGAACAATAGGTTCAGGTCACCTTCTAAGAGGCAGAATTAGAAAGTAATGTTCACCAAGAGATAGAAAATTTCCATTTCAACGTTTAACTCTAATAGAAGTAACTAGCAGGTTCTTAGCATGGCCGTACAAATTTTAAAAAGATGTATCCAAAAGACCACAGGCAAAGAATATATAACCACAACTTACAATTATAGTGATTGATCTTGTCTCTTCATCCATCATTATGTTACCATATTGCAGGTCGTTGTGACAAAAACCAATCTCTTGATATTCTTCAGATAATTTCTTCTCTAGAATATTTATTTCCTCGTCCAGACTGTCCAAGCCAAAAAGTTTTGTATCCTTTGGGGAGCACAAACTTTTGGCTTCAGAAAGCCAATTCCTAGTAAATAACATATGGAGGGCATTTAATATTCTGCATAGCAATAAAAATTAATTTTAAGATTGATCTGATCTATAATTTACCTCATTCTCTCCCAAATCTGAGCCTTTTTTGCACCAGGCATATGAAGATTATGGAACTTCCTCATCTTAGATGCTATCAAAGCAGATATTTCAACGTCATGAAGGTCAGCAGCCGAGAGAGTCTAAAAGGCCAAAATAAGAAAAGAAAAAAACATGTTAGGAACAATTCTCATACTAGGAACGTAAATAACACTGCATGTCAAATTCATCTTCTTTGATTTCCTATGACTCCTTCAATTGGTTTTAATCCATTGGGAAATAGAAAGTGACATCAACAGCAGATAAAAAGAAAGAGATTAAACAGGATAAAATCACTGACTGGAAGGCCTCAAGGAATACCATAGTCCATAGTTGACATATTAATGAGGCCTACCGAGTTATATGGCTGAAATATAATTTTAATCAATTTATTGCTAAATTATTTTATTCACCTTTGGAACTCAAATGTTTAGATTGTCAAGTCTAAATTTGTTCAACATATTTTTCTCCTTTAGAATAGATAGACTTGAGTGAATTTCCATGATCAAACCTCTGAATGGCACTGCTGATTGCAGACAAGTGTCTATTTTAAATACATCAGTCATCACAATGAGCTATTCAACCTAAAACTCATCTATTTGTCCAATCCAAGATCAACAGTATTTTAGTCTTATCTGGATTTAGATAAAAAAAATCCTTCCATTTCTTTTATAGTGTCTATGTGTTGCTTTCCATAGTCTTATATAGAAGATCATAAGGATCATCTATTAGTTGGATTGACAAAGCAAATTGTTCATATACTCCCTAGAAGCGCCAAATATAAATGTTAACAGTATGTTTCTGACAGAGAAAACCCCATCAAGTATATTTTGAAAAAGCCTTTTGTAAGTTTGAGGGGAATATAAATGGCAATTGAAAAATTGTAGTGCCAAAATATACAACAGTTAACAAGCTATGCTGGAATTTTCTATGCCTATAGAACAGGCAACTACTTAAATGCTTATCAAGTATTAGTACTATATTTGTTAATGAGCATTTGAATGAGTGAAATAGACAGGAAATAATAAGACTTCACAAGTCTGATCTTTCCATATATGCACAAAAAGTTCCACATTCCCTTCGATTAACATATTGTTTTAGTATATTTCTTTATTATTAATAGAAAAAATAACATACAGAAAAGGAATTAGAGAAAAAAGAATGGTAAAAGAAGCACCTAAGAGCACCTGATCCCATGTCATTGGCTCCACACCATTCAATTGAATTTCTTGAAGATGCTTCTTAGCTAATTAATCCTAAACAACTAACAGGCAATGTTAACCCTCCATTGCTCCAACGGATGAAGGGAATAAAATAAGAAAAAGGAAACACCAGTCCAAGGAAAAGCTCTTTGACTAAAGAATGAAGTAAAATGGAGAGAGCTCACCAAAAAAAAAAAAAAAAAAGTAAAATGGAGAGGAAAAAAATCTAATTAACTTTCAAACTGACCATGACAAAAACCATAGATATAGTCAAAGTTTTCTTTTTCTGATGATGCGCCAAAACATGATTGGGTGATGATGCAAAAATATGACAAAAACACTGGATCAAAATCTAACTCCAATTATATAATATAACGTGCCTATCAAGGATAAATTTCTGAACCTATCATGTTAGATTATTCATTTTCATTTTTAAAAAAGTAAAGTATTGAAAAAAGAACACAATCACATACCCTGGCATGAATAAACTCCTCAACTCGGCCAGAGGTGAACCGGCCAAGAAGGCGTGGACCCTGACCGTGCTTTGAAATGCACTCAAACGTTCGAATTTCTTCATCCCTGTCAAAGAAAACTTCAACACCTTCACCATATAAGCGAACCAGAACCTTTCTGAGATCACTACCATTTTTGGTTGGCCAGTTTATCTGGAAAACCTCATTGGTCATTGCACCCTTCAATGGAATCACTTGCAAGTTGTTCACATCATCGATCACATCCCCCAAATCCGAAGCCACCGCAGCAAGAACTTCCATTATCTCTTCCTGGGACACACTCCCTTTCAACAATTCAATTGTCTTTATGGCCATTCTTTGACGAACGATTTCTTGGGCTGAAAAAAAAGAAAGAGGAAACTTAAACATAGAGTTTAGTTAAGTGATTTCGAGCATGCACGAACTCATGGAAAAAGACACAATCTTTGATAACCCAATTGCGAGAAAACATCATAAATCGATTACCCTTAATGAGATAATTGAAAAAAATTTAAAAGAAAAGTAGAATTGGGTGTTTTAGAAACTCACCTACGAAACAGAGAAGTTCAGAGTTCGAAAACAGGGGAAATGTTGTTGCAAAAAAAAAAAAAAAAAGTTTGAAAATAACCTCCTGCAGTGAAGATTGCGTGAAAAAGACAGGAACTTTTAGAAAACCCAGTTGATAAAAAGTATGAGGAATCAACAATCCGTGAAGGATAATCAAAAGGGTTTAATAAAAGTGAAAAAGAAAAATTCTTGAGACTTGGGAACTGACGGAAGAAGAAGAAGAAGCAGAAGCAGAGTAAGGTGTGCAAGAAATGCAGCTTGAGTTTGGTAATGTGACTCGGACACTAACGTTGTATATATAGAGAAGATACACGTTTTCTGCTAATTAAAGTCAAAGATTTCCTATTAATCTACTAGTCAAATTTCAGATAACTACAAACTAAGCAAAATCCACGAACAGTAAACAATTAAAAAAATTCAGATTCTTTGCAATACATTAATGATTACTTTGATGGGATAGGATACTGTGACACACAAATAATGTTACGCACAATGTTACGACCATATCTTAACCGTTGATTTCCGTCAATCAACGACTATCATTTATTACGAATTAATAATTAATTAATGAGTTTGATTTGAAAAATGATAACCGTTGATTGGCAGAAATCAACGGTTAAGATGTGATCATAACATTGTGCGTAACATTATTTGTGTGTCACAATATCCTATCCCTTAGTTTCATTTGGCAAGATATCAATTTAATATTTCATTTAACACCAAAATATTTCTACAATTACTTTTGCGAATTAATAATTAATTAATGAGTTTGATTTGAAAAATGATAACCGTCGATTGGCGGAAAACAACGGTTAAGATGTGGTCATAACATTGTGCGTAACATTATTTGTGTGTCACAATATCCTATCCCTTAGTTTCATTTGGCAAGATATCAATTTAATATTTCATTTAACACCAAAATATTTCTACAATTACTTCTGATAAGTTATCTGTATTTATTCTCTAAATAATATCATTTTAGGATTGAAAGATTAAAAAATTATAACTATAAAGTCTATAATAATTCTAAAATAAATTAAAATTATAAAAATTTCATGATTTTTATCCCAAAATAACGTCATATTAAATTTACTGTATATACTTATATCATCTTTCATTTAATGCGTTTTATTATATTGATAATTTTAAGATATGTCAAATTTTTTTAATAATGTAGTGATACAAATGTAAAACTTTATTGAAAATTACTTAAAAGAAAAAAAATAAAATGATAGGGACTCAATGTATAAAGAACTAACGTTTTTTTTAAGACCGACGTTACATCGAAATTAAATTTATGTTTATGTATGAAAAAAAAGAGTTCACTTTTTCTGCAGTTACTGCAGATAAATTATCTGCAGTAAGTTCAATACGATGTTGTTTTGGGACGAAAATCATGGTGTTTTTGTAATTTTAATTTATTTCAGGGTTATAATAGTCTTTATATTTATAATTTTTTAAAATTTCAATACCAAAACGACATCGTTTTGAGAATAAATACAGATAATTTATCTGCATTAACTGCAAAAATATTTTTTCCGAAAAAAAAAGAAGACTTTTATACAATGTGAATATATTCACTTTGGATGGACACAAATTAGTCTCATTCACACATGACTTAACATACAAGTTATATTATAATATTGCTCTTTGTAATATAAAAAATGTATAGCCTTCTCATTTAGTTTTCCTTGCTTTTAAAACTATTATAATCTCGCGTTCCGAAATAAAATTGAAATTTATTATTGGAAAAGTTCAGGTTAGTAATTTTAAATTGAATTTTTTATATTAAAAAATTGAACTTTATCATTGTGAGAGGGAAAAAAAAAAGATAAAGAAGAATAAGGGGAGTCAAATTTGTCTCCGACGTGGACCGTGTTCTCCATGAGACGTGTGTAATTAAAGCCGTTTGGAATCAGCCAACACGGCTTCAAGGGAATATATTTTTATAGTTTATATAAAATAAATAAGTAAACAAATAATAAATAAATAAATATCTTTTTGCAGGTAATAGAAGTTAATGAACACTTTTTAATGGTATGGTATATGGAGAAGGTTACAATAATGTAGATGGACATGGACGGTTGAATTTGAAATAGTATTATAAATTTATAATTGATAGTTTTTGGATGGGTTGTCTTTATAGTTTATATTGTATTAAATAATAATATCTTGAGATATTTTAATCAAATACCTGATATTAACTGAAAGGAAAATTTTATAACGAAATAAATATTTTTAATGAAAGGGATTTATCATATTTTTACGTCAATATTTCAATTATTCATTTGGTTATGAACGAAAAAAGAAAGCGCTTTGATTGGACAAATGGACGGTAGATAAGTCCAACGACAAACTCATTTATTCTGTGTGGACCTACCAGCACATGTCATAAATTCATAACCACACAATTTTATTGTGACGGTGTCGCACTCCTTGATATGCACATCAGTCACCAAGCTCCTTTTACATATACAATATCAATATATTCGCCATGCTAATTTGTACATTTTGAGTAACTATTGAGTGATAGGTATATAAGTGAGAATAATGTGATGTTAAGAACAAATGAGTGGTAGAGTAAATGTAGTTAAGTGAATAAGTGAGATTAATGTACCATTAAAAAATTCAAAATTTTGTTATCAAAAAAAAAAAAAAAAAAAATTTCAAAATTTCTAATTAAGGAAATTGTACTTTACCACTCGAATGAATAATTGTTGGTACAAATTTTTCATTAGTCAAACTAATGAATGAAATTCGTGTGACCTCAATAATATATGAGTAGCTAGGTAAACAATTAAACAAATGGGACTACATAACATTAACAAAAAAAATAAAAATAAAAAAAGAGTGGATATAACAAATATAATTAAGCGAGTCACTTTTTCATACCTTAGGTGATTTACAAAATATTCAATAATGCAAATCAAAATCTTATGAGGTAGAGCAACAACTGTGAGAGGAGTTAGCTACTTCTGTTCTGAGTAACTTGAACCTTTTGCCTTTGCTATGTTTTTTTTTTTTTTGATAACAAGCCTTTGCTATGTTTTTGTTGACACAGTTATCGTTGGTTTCTTTGGCATGTCCTCAGCATCTTGAACAGACCTCAGTGTGGAGCTTATTTCGGTGCAACATACTTATTTACTGAAATGAAAAAAATATGGAATATAAGTAGAAGTAATTATAAAAATATTATTTTTTTGTCATATTTAATAAATAACATATCCAGTACTTAGTGCAACAGCAGTACTGAAAGTGTGAGAACATCTATTACAAAAAAAAAAAAAAAAGTGTGAGAACATCTGACCATATCTGACAGCTACTTGCGGCACAGTTTGTGCATTATTCAATTGATGATAGCGATTTTTTTGCTATTATCGAAGAAGTAGACGAAGTGTCAAGTGTCACACGTACAAATGTTAATGAAATATGGATAATATTTTTATAAAGAGCAAAATTATTTTCTCATGTTGTATGAGAATTTAATTTTTATGTTGTGATCTTTTGATTTATGTGCAAATTTTTTTTTTTTAAATAAACGTTAGACCCACCACTAATTGAGTCATAACATGAAAATTCAATTAACATATGCAAGTTGAAAAAATCAGACCCCTAATTAAGATTGTGCTGGTGACTAATATGGCCAAGAATACTTGTATTTAATGCTATTTTTGGGGGGAAATGTATCGACAAACTGCAGCTTGTTGGGCTATGACATGTCATGAATGACCCAAAAATGTGTTCTGCGTGCTTGAGACTTTAGCAACTACAGTACTATTAATGACTATTACGTTAATAATAGTTTGTATTTGTCAGCAGGATTACCAATTCAAATGAAAATGTATTTGACATGTCCAATAATTCATTAGATATTTTTTTTAACAAAGATAAAGAGGTCTATTTCTGCTTATTTTTAAGGGAAATTTCCTATTTATTTTTATTTCATAAAATACAATATAAAATTGCATCATTGTACTACAATCAAAGCTCAAAAGCAAGCCAAATGAGATAACATATCACACCATACTTCACCTGTACACTAACCAAATTACATAGAACCTAAATAATAGATAAAATAGACAGAAGATAGTAAGATACGAGCAAAAACGTTGAGAATCAATGCAAAAAAATTAAATTGGAATGTGATATAGAGTTTGATATATGCAGAGTTTTAATTATAAAAACATTATTGAATTAAATACACGTTTTTGATAAGATGACTTGTTTATTTCAGCTAAAAATTAAGGAAAATATTAGCCTCTTTTTACATGAGTTACTTTATCTCATTTTCTCTCACTTCGATTTTCGCACCTCACTTTTTTTTTCTTTTTCTTGTAATGGTGGGACCCACTTAGTTTCTCTCTATAACATAAGATACCTATCTTATGTAAAAGGAGATTAATAAAACCCAAAAATTAAATACACGTTTCACTTACCTCACATATCATCGTAAGTTTTGCATCTTAACTTTATGTTTTCTTCATTTTTTGTCACGATTTTAATTAAGTAAAAAGTCATTTTGTATTTTATTTTTTTTTAAAAACATAATGAATTATCTATTAAGATCTAGTCAAATTTCTTTTAAATTAATTACATGATGAATTTTAAAAATACGGGAAAAGTGTGTATCCTTCTAGAGGATACACACTTATATCCTTTTAAGAGAGATAAAGAAACAAATTTGGAGAAGAGGGAGTGAAGGAAAAAATTTATAATTTGAAATTTGAAAAAACACACTACATTGATTTAAAAGGACCATCTTTTAATCCACTAGGATTAGCCTAGTGGTGTGAAGTGTGTGTTAGGTATATATAGTGTAGAGGTGTGTGTTCAATTCCCATGTATTGTAATGCAAAAAAAAGAAGGATCATCCTTTTAAATGATAAACAATAAACCCAAATACAAATCTGAATAAAAGTTGTTGTTTTTTTTTTTTTTTTTTTTACAAATAATAATAAATAAATGTAAAACTCTGAAAAACCCAGCAAAAACCCTTTTGCAAAACCTCGCTGTAAAATTTCGTTTTAGGAAGCAAAGAAGCGAGGGCTCCAAGTTTCGTTGTTGGAGAAAGTTGGTTTGTTAGATAAAGATTTGATCTTTGCACATTGCCCATGAGCTCCAAAGGTCCCCATACAGATTCAATTGGTATACTCTCTTTGCTTTTCCCTGCTCAAATTTTCAATTTTTTTTTTTTTGTGCTCAAATTTGACATTTTCAATAATTATGATTCATTCTGGCTATTACTGGATCAAGCTTGACATGAGTTTTCCTCAATATTCATTTTTGTATTAGTGAATTTGATTCTCATTTTGATCCCATTATTAGCCAAAGAATTCCTTAGCGGGTAGTTAATGCAGTGAGTCTCAGACTCAGACTCATGAAGGACTTTTTAATTATTTACTTAGTTACCTATTATTTTTAAAAGAAGCACCTTTGAATATTGTTGTGTCAATTTATGGACAGAAGTTTCTACTTGTGCTTTGCATTGCTTATATTGAACAAATGACTTGCTTATACAGATACATTGAAGTTTAAAATGTCTCCTGAAAGGGATCCAGATAAGTTCTTCATGTCCATCAGTGAAGGAGAGAAAAAGCCAGTTGACTTTTTACGCGTTCTATATGGTAAGTATTTCCATTCCAGTTGAAGATTGTGTAGATGCATGTATAAAAAACTGCAAACCTTTGGTATTTAAATGATTGATTGGGCTAGTTTGTCTTGTCGTGGGTTTATACTTAACTCGTATGTATACATTATTGTATTCTGTGCTGACAATGAGATCAGTGACATATAATGTTATTAGAAGCAGCAAGTTGAAAGTTTCGAAGCCTTGAAATTGTAATCTTCCATTTTAAATACTTGCTTTTTTCCTCCTGTGTATATCAGTTTGAATTGATAATTTAACTCCTGTGAGCAATGCTGTCTTCTTAGTGTGGATATTCTAAGGTTTTGTTCCATTTTTGTCAAGAAAAATGACTGATGGTGTTTCTAATTCTATGGATAATTACCTTTTATGCTATAAGGGCTGGCATTAGAACTCAAACGAGTCATAAGTTGCATCTTTTAATGTATCTCTTTTGTATTGTACTATAAATATTGTGCTGTATGACGTACTTATGAATATTGCAGATGGTTGTATTGCTGGAGGTGTTGCTGGTGTCATTGTAGAAGCAGCTTTATACCCCATTGATACCATCAAAACTCGACTACAGGTGAGTTAAGTATATTGAGTGTAAATTTTTTAATTCTACTTCATCTGTGTTTGCATCCGTCTGGTGGGGGTTGCGGGGAAGGGAGGACCTAGGAAGGCAGAGGGAAATAATCAATTCATGATTTGTCATACAAGAGGCAGCAGGTGTTGTTGTAGGTCTGAAAATGCAGTTGTCAGATAATAATATTCTCTCCCCCAATTTAGTGCAGCTTCCATGTGTTAGTTCATGTCAAAGTTCCATTTCTGTAAATTTTATAATTATTTCTTACTATGTGTCATTCACATTATGCTTATGCATGAGATATTAGACTTCATTCAACATTCATTCTGTCCTGTTTGATGTGAATTTTTTTAGTTACTGGAGCAATGCACCGAGTTTCCTTAATTTGTAATGTTTCATCCTCCTAATAAGACTAAAAGAATAATAGTTGTCTAATATTTTCCATTTCCCATTCCCTATCTCTTTTAGTTGTTGATCTTTGGATAGAATCTATTGTTAGGTTTTGGCTTGCTTCTCTAATATCTACTTTTTGATTACGTTATGTTTTGATTTTATATCTCGTTCCTTCCTATATCAGGTTGCTCGTGGTGGAGGGGAAATTATTTTGAAGGGTTTGTATTCTGGATTGGCTGGAAATCTTGCTGGTGTCTTACCGTGAGTAGCCTTAGTTTTCATATATATCTTGCCCTTTGCAATTCACTTGGCATTCATTTTTGTGTTGCTTATCCCTTCCTCTGCTTCGCACTTAATATTTTTCTCTGACAAACTTATTTGAATCCAAAACTAATTATATATTATATCTTATGTGATATGAACTTAAGATAAGAAATATTTTGTTTATAGTTTTATCAATTAGGAATTGACTGAAAGAGTCTTTTTCTGCCCTTTAATCATCCATTAAAACTTCTGATTGCTTGTTCTGGATAAAATAATTTTTTTAGTTTCTGGAATGGTGATTTGTAAATTTGCACCGGAGAAAAAAAATGGTATGTATTTTGTATTTGAGCTGAGTAAATATGTATAAGCACATACACTACTGGCCCCAGTTATTTCTGAACATAGAAATATGCCCAGCTCCTTTGGAACCCAGAACTTCATAACTATTAGCCCACAAGTTAACGTTGATGTTGTTTTAACTTCTAATTGCAGTAAATCCACCTATTTAGCATGAGAAGTACAATTACTTTTTATTATCAGAGGCAACAGTTGGTGAGGATCAATTCTGAGCATTTCCTGGTTTCACTCTATCCCAGTGAGGAATATAATCAGACCTTTACTAACTTCAAATGCACACTCTTGTGCTGAATTTTTTCCTTCAAACATTCTATTGTGAGAAGATGGTTTTTCTGGACACAGTGCCCTATAACATTCTTTTATTTTTGGAAAAAAATGGTTCTTAATTTATTAAATTGTGTAGTACGTGCCTGATAGATTACTCTTCAACTCTTGGCAGAGCTTCTGCAATTTTTATTGGCGTGTATGAACCCACAAAGCAGAAATTGCTAAAGTCCTTACCTGATCATCTCAGCTCTGTGGCTCATTTTGTAAGTTGGTTCTCTTTATTAATAAAAGAGACTACCTAGTCAAATTATCTATGTGGTTGCATGTGGCACACAACTTTCACCTTAATATTTATGGAATGGTGCTTTTCACCCTCTTTTAAAATTCTTTTAGTTTTTACTTTACTTTTTAATATTTGTGTACTGTTATGCTGATGTTCAAAGCATTACTTAGTTGAGATAAATCATAACATACACAAAGCAGTAGTGGCAACTAGGTCAGTACATGACCAAAAACACAAGATAATAGTTCTTTTATAAGATATTGAATTGCAAAGTTACCACCAAAGCATATTCCCAAATATGTCTAATTATATATGCATATTGTGGGTGCATTTCAACCTCTTTAAACAAATAAGGAAAGACATTGCAAACTAAAATTTGATTCACCTATGCCCAAAAGTCAACCTTTTATAATTTAAAACCTTACAGACTTATCACCTTATAGCCTTATCATGATATCGAAATATTTTGTAATTTATTTATTCTCCAGATTTATATGAATCCAATACAGATAGCTACTTTATAATATTTTGTAATGGCTTGCAACACTTATAGTTGAACAACTTCATGAAAATCTCACTCAAACATAGCTTGAATGAATCATTTAGTTGCTAAATCTCAGCTTGAACAGTGAAAGAGTTTGAGTCTAGGCTTATGCTTATGCTTGGCTTGAAAGTAGATTTTAATGTGTACCTTTACATGTTTGTGGTGTAAATTACGTATCAATTTTTATTGTACCTTTGGCATAAATTGCATTATTTTTAGTGCCATGGGAAAAAAAAATATTACAGTACATATAAACAGATACAGATAAATAAGTTATAAAACTTGTAAATGACTATTCAACTAAATGATTGGCACACAAGCGGTTTAGTCTGCTTAGAACTGGTGGTGACATTTCTTTTTTATTTTTTGTTATTTTGATATTCCTAAGCTGAATACAGGCTGCAGGTGTTATTGGAGGCACTGCTTCCTCTTTTGTTCGTGTTCCAACTGAGGTAAATAGCTTTACTTCTGCGTTGCCATTTATATTTTCTGATCTTGGAATTGATTCATGTCTTTCTAGGTTATCAAGCAAAGGATGCAAACTGGGCAATTTGGATCAGCTATGGCTGCTGTCCGTCTTATTGTTGCTAACGAGGGTTTTAAAGGTCTTTATGCGGTATATATTACTTAATTTCATATTATAGGATTGAGCATTTACTTATTTGTTCATTAATTTCTGCTTTAAATTATTGTTCTAGTAGGGTATTCTTTATTTGATTTCCCACCCTGGAGAGAAGTTTTATGTCGCTTTATGCAAGAGAGGAGATAGATGTTGTATGCAGAATTATGATCAGAACCATGATGCCTTTACAATTTTTAATTTTTTTGCCATTTTACATGCTATTTGAATATTGTGTATATGCTAACTTTGGTTTTTTGTTTTACCTGCCTTGACCTCTACTTTTGTCTTTCGTGAGATTGTAGGGATATGGATCTTTCTTATTGAGAGATTTACCATTTGATGCTATAGAATTATGCATCTACGAGCAGCTCCGTATTGGGTATAAACTAGCTGTAAGTTTAATATTTGAATTGTCTATTGATTTATGTGGATTTTTACATAGGTTCCCATTGGCTTTAAATCATGTATAAAAGGGGAAGCATTTGAGTTCTTGTAAAATTATCTCTCTCATTTGTGTATGAGTAGAAGAAAAGTATTGCATAAAACTAATAATATTATGCTCTTTGGAATTTTTCCTTTTAACATTGAATTTCTTATGTCAATTTGTTAGATAGTATTGTAATTAGCTCAGGATTATGAACTATTGGTCCATTAGCTTGGTTTCTAGCATATAAAGTATAAGATTATTATGAAAGTTCTCTCTCTCTCTTTTCTTGAATGAGGTGCTATAACTATAAGATACCATTTCAGAAAATCAAAGGGATTTCATTCCAAGTAAACAAATTTTGGGTGCTACTCTAGTTGCGAATGAGATGGTCAATGATGTGACGAGGTCCGGTAAACAGGACTTAGTCTTTAAACTGGATTTTAAGAGAGCTTGTGATCAAGTGAGTTGAGTATAAGTCCTTGAGAGAACGGTTTTGGTTCTAGATGGAAGAGGTAGCTTTCAAGTTGCCTCTATTAAAAAAGGATAAACCTAGAGCACAAGGCTTTCCGACTTCGCGAGGGCAGGGGTGAGGGTCGATTTTATGCAACCTTATCCTTGCATTTTTTGCAGAGAGATTGTTTGCTAGACTTGAACCCATGACCTTCCAGCCATAAAGAAACAACCTTATCATTGTTGCAAGGCTGAGGTCCTCTTAGATTTCAGGTTTCCTCTATAGCTACTTTTTTCTGTAGTTGTGAGTTGGCAACCAAAGTTGTTGAGTTGGCATCCAAAGTTGTTACGAAGTCTTGACTAAATTGCTCACAAAGATCAATTGGGGGAAATGGGGGATAGACAAAGATATGTGAATCAGATAATCAAATACGGAGTTTTATTGATGGTAATCTGATGTACAAGAGGAATTCCTCTACTCGAGGGTCTGATGCCCTTCCGTATGGAAACGTTTCAGTTACAGACTTCTGCAAAAAGATTCACAATGCTCCCAATTACACACTAACCCCCTTTTTATACATCCCTGCCCCTACTAACATACAATTCAGAATATTCCTAATCTACAGCTGAAACTCTGTCTAGCTGACCAGTTTGGGCCTCCCTGAGTAAACTCTCAAGCCTTTTGGCCCAATTGAACCCTGATCTGTAACACAAAGTACTGGCTTCGTGGAAGAGGTAGCTTTGTGATCACCATAATTGATCTGCCTGTTTTCTGTGCACAAGGATTTATGGTTTCTCTATCTTCTGTTTGAAGTGACTTTTTCATTTTGGAGGATGATAGAGATAGTTTTGTGAATGTTCTCTCTACATTCTCCAGTTCTTTGAGATTGTTTCTGGCTTGAAAGTTAATTTGAAAGAGTGGTTTGGCCGATATAAACTTACACTTTCGTGCCCTTTAAGGATATATTTATGGTTGTTTGAGGTTGTTTCTGGCTTAGTTGGAGCAAAATTCTCGCAAACTTAAGGATGTCTCTGTATCCCCAAATTTTTTAAGGGATATGATTATTTGGTTCATCTACCACCGACCCCAATTAATTTGGGATAAAGGTGTTGTTGATGTTGATGTTGATGTTGATGATTATTTTGTGGCTTCTCTTTGCTGCTTAGATTGTGGCTGTTTCAAGAGAGTTGTTCTTTTTGGTATACAGAGAGATTGGACAGCTTCGCTACATTAAGTGTTCCTTGTTATATCTTTTTTTTTTCCCTCTATTTTGAATGATATATTGTCCTCTCCATAGTTTATTTTGCCATATTTTCTGTCTAATAAAATTTACTATTATCTATCGGTCTATCCACAAAAAAGGCAATGTAGGAGTGCTTGATAGTTTTTGTATTTTTGTTTCTTTCCAGGCAAAAAGGGATCTAAATGATCCAGAGAATGCTATGCTTGGGGCATTTGCTGGTACTTCATATCTATTAGAAGTTTTCTGTTGAAGCATTAAAGGATTCTTTGATATTTGTGCTTCAACTGTCTGTACATCTTACTGTTTACTTTCTGAAATTCATGGCAAACTTGAAACTTGAAGTGCTGAATTTTTGTGGATTTTCTATTCTTTTTACTATGGTCTCTGGTAAAAGGATTTCACAATCAATAATGTTGCCTTTAATTTTGTGGTATGTATTGGTTTTTTTCTAAGTACTTTCCTAATCTTTGCCATAATTTTTGCTGTGAAAGCTAAACTATTTCATAATTGGCTGGGCCTGCAAGTTAGTAAATAATCCCATTAAATGGAAGATAGTATGACAATTTGCAACATGCCGAACTAATAACTACCCCTCCCCCAAAGAAAGTTTAATTCAAACCTGTAACTGGGCCATAAGGAAGCATTATTACTGCCAAATTTAGCTTCAAATCAGTCTTCTTTTTCTTTTTCTTCTTTTTTTTGATAATTCTATTTACTCATGCTGAAATAGTACTTAGACCGACGTGTCCAGCTTAATTTGGTTGAACTCAAATGGTAAATTGGATGCCTTATAGGTGCCATAACTGGAGCGGTTACAACTCCTCTTGATGTAGTAAAAACCAGATTGATGGTTCAGGTACGGAGAATTTTTTTCTTCTGTTCTTATTTAGAGAAAAATGGAGGGAGAGTCCAGAGCGAAACTCGATTTAAAAAAAAAAAAAAAAAAGTTTGCTATGAAATGACCACTTTAGGTGGTTCTTTTTCCTTCATGGCAAATATTCTTAATGGGAGTTGATCGTTTGAAGTTCTTCCTTTTCTTAGACATCTTTCTTTTGTTTTATTTCTATTTTTCTTTTGAGATATGGGTTTGATTTTGAAATCTAACACTTTCTTTCTCTCTCTCTCTCTCTCACAACTTCAGGGATCACAAAACCATTACCATGGCATTTATGATTGTGTGAGGACAATAGTTAAAGAAGAAGGAGCTCATGCTCTTTTTAAGGTATGACCATTTCTTGAAATTCGCAATCATTTATTTGCTTTCTTAGTTTTCTTTTGTTACATTTTTTACTGTTCTGCAGGGTATTGGTCCAAGAGTTTTGTGGATAGGACTTGGAGGTTCAATATTTTTTGGTGTTCTTGAGAAGACAAAGCAAATTCTTGCTAAGAGGCACCCCCCAAGATGAGGCTCGGAATAAAATTTCTTCAAGGCAGGATTAAGCTGATATGTTTCAATGCACATTTAATTTAATTCCATGTTTTGCTCAGCTCATTCCTAAATTGGTGCCTGGCCTGAAAGGGTCCAGGCCAAAATAAGTCCATTTGGAACTCAAAATTTAGGCCCCAATTGGAATTTGGGCTGCTATTGTAAAGCCTGAAGAAAATCAGGGCCACCCTGGAGCATTATCTAAAGACTGACAAAGCACAGGCTGTAAAACGGCAAATCACAATTCCCAAAGGCTTCTCAATTTTATGCAAAGTGGTCTTATTGTTACATTATGCAAAGAGACTGTTCTTAAAACTTGAACCGGTGACTTTTCGATCACAAAATACAGGTTGTAAGTTGTAACAAATGAAAATTTATATTATTTTAAATTTTTCTTTTCTTTTCTTTTCTGCTGAAAATGATTTATTTTATTCAAAGTCCAAAGAATAGGGCAAGAGAAAAGGGATTCTAGAAGGAAGGAAGAAAATTGAAGTTCAGGACACATTTGGGATATATGTACACCTTGCTTGCACCCGGATGGAGAACCTTTGCATTGAGGATGTATATCCAAAACATATTTACAATATGGGAGATGTAGACAGGGAGCATAGAAGGGTTAACATGGAAAGATTCAGCAGCAGCTGGCGTGCCACTATCATTCAGGGTTATGAAAATCCGCGAGAAGCAACTGGCCGTATTGTATGTGCCAATTGTTGGTTCATTTCGGGGGCAAGCAGATTATTTATGATGAAGAGGATGAGCTTCAAGAGGCATTCTAGTGTAACCTTCAAATAGCATTGAATTATACAATTATGAATTATACTACGACTAGGATTATATGATCTGCTTAATAAAAGTTAAAACTATAATTTTAGAATTAGTTAATGTAAGTGTTAAATATAGAGTTTGTTATAAATATTTGAATTACTGTTTGTATATGTTTAGATAGAATCCTCTGATTTGATTTGATTTGATTCAGTAGAAAGTTGTTGAAGATATTGTTAGTAGCTCCATTTTTTTAGGATGTCATAGCTGTATAAATGTACCTCCAAATTGGAGAAGAATTATGAATGAGAATACAAAATATTTCAGTAACTCTCTCTGTGATCCTTTGTGTATGTTAGTGTTGGAGTCTTGACATGGTATCAGGTTCGTTCTGATCCTGGGAAGTGTTCTTTAAACTCTCATTTTCTTTTACTCCATCCGTACCTTTCCCAATTTTTTCACCCCACCCGAACCCATTTCCTTTCTTTCACGTCTTTGTCCCACCCGTATTAGTCTTGCCCGCATCTGTTTTTTTTTCCTTTCTTTTAATTCGACCCGACCCGCCTCAGCAATTCCTACTTTCCTTTCTTCTTCTTTTTTCCCCAAATGGAGAACCCTAGTTCTGACCATAACGCCGACCACGAAGTCGAACCCCAACCAAACCCAAATCAGTTGCCCCCCTCCAATATTGTAATCCATCAAGACAATGCGTCCTTCCCCATCACGGTGGTCCTGGATGACACCAACTACCCGCTATGGTCACAATTGATGGAGATGCGCATAGGCGCTCGCAACAAGTCCGGTTTTTTGACCGGTGACACACCCAAACCACCCGTCGCAGATCCCACCCATGGTGCCTGGGTCACTGAAAACAAAAGGGTGAAGAGTTGGCTTATTGAATCCATGTCTCCTTCGTTGATGAAACGGTTTCTTCGCTTGGAGACTGCTCACGAAATCTGGGACGCTGCCCTTCGGACCTTCTATGATGGTTCGGATGAAACGTGTTTGTTTGATCTTAACCAGAGGTCGTTCAACACTAAACAAAATGGGAGGTCCTTGTCCATCTACTACAATGACTTGCTGTCAATTTTTCAGGAAATCGACCACCGTATGACTGCTCAGGAGGGCTCTGTGGCTGATGTTCTTCACCTGCACTCTTCTATGGCCAGGCTTCGCGTCCATATATTTCTAAGTGGGTTGGATGCCGAGTTCAAATCTGTCCGTGGAGAAATTCTTCGCAAGGACCCCAAATTGGATCTTGAACGAACTTACGCCTATGTGAGGCGTGAAGCTCAGCAACGTATCACCATGGGTCGCCCCTCTGCGTCCTTGGATCCAGCAGCGTTGGTTACCCACTCGCCGCGTCCGCCCTCTGGGTCTCAATCCTCCAGACCACGACGCGACTTGTCCAGGTCCAGCTCCCTTCAGTGCTCTCATTGTGGTGATGTGGGTCACACCAAAATCAAGTGCTATGAGATCATCGGTTACCCGGATTGGTGGGACTTCACCAAGCGTCCCCGTCGGAAGGTTCTCAACCGCACCTTGACCACCACTGCAGACGGTGACTCTTCTTCCCTCCCTATTGCTAATACCGTTTATGAAGGGATTCTAGGTAAGTCCTTCGCTTCCTCTACACTTTCTCAGAATTCAACTTGGATAATTGATACTGGTGCATCGGATCACATGGTTCGTGATCCCTCTTCCCTTACCTCTGTTTTTCCCTGTGACAAATCACATGTTTCCACTGCAAACGGTGGCACCTCCGTTATTACTGGTCAAGGCTCTATCCAATTATCCCCTCTGTTAACTCTTGATCATGTTCTTATTGTACCTAATCTTGAATGCAACTTGCTTTCGGTTAGTAAAATAACCACTGCCTTGAATTGTCGTGTAATTTTTTGGCCTGATTACTGTCTCTTTCAGGGAAACCACTCCAAGGAGATTCTTGGTTATGGTGTTAGGCAAGGGAAGCTTTATTTTTTGGATGTATCACACAATAATGGTGCTTCGGCTGTGGTTGCTGCTCACACTTCTACACTGGACAGGGAAAGGCAGGCAATTTGGTTGTGGCACCGGCGCCTTGGACATCCTTCATTTGGTTATCTTAAGCATTTGTTTCCTAGTTTATTTTCCAGTCTTTCAATTTCTGAGTTTAAGTGCTCTGTTTGTGAATTGGCCAAGAGCCATAGAATTCCTTTTTCCCCAAGCATGAATAAAAGTTCTATTCCCTTTCAAGTTGTGCACTCTAATGTTTGGGGTCCTGCAAGAATCCCCTCATTTTCTAAATCCTATTACTATGTCTCCTTTATTGACGAATGTACACGTATGGTTTGGATCACGTTGTTAAAACAAAAAAATGAAGTTTTTTCTGCTTTCCAACACTTTCATGCTATGGTCCAAAACCAATTTTCATCCTCTATTCTTACTCTTCAATCTGACAATGGAACTGAATATGTTAATGGTGCTTTCACTAGTTTCTTATTATCAAAAGGTATAAAACACCAGACCTCTTGTCCCTACACACCCCAGCAAAATGGTTTGGCCGAACGGAAAAATCGCCACTTGTTAGAAGTAGTTCGTGCCTCTCTATTTCAAATGAACGTCCCTACCTGTTATTGGGGCAAAGCCATCACTTCCGCTGCATACTTAATAAACAGAACACCATCTAGTGTCCTCCACTTTAAAACACCTCTCCAAACTCTTGCATCTTTTTTCCCTATTCCTCATTTGTCTAAAATGGAACCTCGTATTTTTGGTTGTGTCACTTATGTTCATGTTCCAAAACCCTTACGAACCAAGCTAGATCCTTGTGCCCGTAAATGTATCTTTGTTGGCTATTCCACCACTCAGAAAGGATATAGGTGCTTTGACCCAATTGCTCACAAAATGTTTGTCACAATGGAGGCCTCCTTCCACGAGTCAGAACCTTTTTATTCAGGGGGAGTACCTATTTCTTCTTCTCAGGGGGAGACATCTACACCTTCACTCGGAGAAGAAGACATATGGCTATCCACACAAGTTGCACCTTCGGTTCCAACCAACTCAAACACAGGTGCTGCCTCTGAATCTGAGCAACAAAATGCAGTCCTTGAATCTGAAAATACAGCTGTCCAAGCCGAACATGAAGCACCCTCTCCAAGTGATACACCTTGCTTAACTAACATACCTGAAATCTCTCCTGTGGACTTCCCTGAAAGGCAACCAGATGACAATTCCGAGGTACACACTAATCCTTCTACTTCTAATTTATCTCCCCTTAACTCTACTTCATCTCTTATACCCCACATGCAAATAAGAAGATCTCTTAGATCCACCAAAGGGATACCAAAGCATCTGTATGAAGCTGACCCGAAAGTAAAAACAAAATATCCAATTAGCAACTACATCTCCACACAAAATTTAGCCGAACCATGTATGCTTGCTACTAATCAATTATCTAGTGTGTGCATTCCGAATAGTGTGCAGGAAGCCTTGGATGATTCCAAGTGGAAAGAAGCCATAAATACAGAAATGACTGCACTTCAGAATAATTATACCTGGGAATTAACTTCTCTGCCAAAAGGGAAGAAGACAGTGGGCTGTAAATGGGTATTTAATGTGAAGCTGAAAGCTGATGGGAACATCGACAGATATAAAGCTAGACTAGTAGCAAAGGGGTACACTCAAAAATATGGCGTGGACTACCAAGAAACTTTTGCTCCGGTGGCCAAACTAAACACAATTCGAATTTTGATCTCTCTGGCAGCAAATAGAGATTGGCCCCTGAAACAATTCGATGTAAAAAATGCCTTTTTAAATGGAGACTTGGAGGAAGAGGTGTATATGGACATACCACCAGGAGTAAAGCTCTCATCTTCAAACGAAAATAAAGTCTGCAAATTGAGGAAAGCACTGTATGGACTCAAGCAATCACCAAGAGCATGGTTTGGTAGACTGTCACTCGCAATGAAGAAGTTTGGATATACCCAAAGTAATGCAGATCATACACTATTCTTCAAGAAAAAAGAAGGAAATATAGCCATCCTTATAGTATATGTTGATGATATGGTGCTCACTGGAGATGATGAAGAAGAGATGAAATCCCTTGAACAAAAATTAGCTGCTGAGTTTGAAATGAAAAAATTGGGACAACTGAAATATTTTCTGGGATATGAAGTTGCTAGATCACAACTAGGAATTGTATTGTCTCAAAGAAAGTATATTTTAGATCTCTTGGCAGAAACAGGAATGTTAGCTTGTAAACCTGCAGACACACCCATGGAGATGAACCATAAGCTCGGCATATATCCAGGCCAGACTAAAGCTGACATCGGTTTGTATCAAAGATTGGTAGGAAGACTAATTTATCTCTCCCACACAAGACCAGACATTGCATATGCTGTCAGTGTAGTCAGTAGGTTCATGCATTCACCTAGCGAAGAACACTTGAAAGCAGTGTTCCGTATTCTGAGGTATCTAAAAGGGTCTCCTGGTAAAGGTATTCTATTTGCCAAACATGAAAAAGAAATCATAGAAGGGTATACAGATTCAGATTGGGCCGGAGATAAAACAACCAGGCAATCCACCTCTGGCTATTTTACATTCGTAGAAGGAAATCTTGTTACTTGGAGAAGCAAGAAACAAAAAGTAGTGGCTAGATCAAGTGCTGAAGCCGAATTCAGAGGTATGGCCTATGGTACATGTGAATTATTATGGATCAAAACTATGCTAAGTGAGTTAGGATTCAATAGTAACCAGCCCATGAACTTGTATTGTGACAACAAAGCAGCCATAGAAATTGCTCACAATCCCGTACAACATGACATAACAAAACATGTAGAGATAGACAGACATTTCATCAAGGAAAAATTGGATCAACAAATAATCTGCACTCCGTATATCAGATCCAAAGATCAAATAGCAGATATGTTGACCAAAGCCGTATCCGAAAAAAGTTTGAAGGAAGTAATTGACAAGTTGGGCATGATAGATATCTATGCGCCAACTTGAGGGGGAGTGTTAAATATAGAGTTTGTTATAAATATTTGAATTACTGTTTGTATATGTTTAGATAGAATCCTCTGATTTGATTTGATTCAGTAGAAAGTTGTTGAAGATATTGTTAGTAGCTCCATTTTTTTAGGATGTCATAGCTGTATAAATGTACCTCCAAATTGGAGAAGAATTATGAATGAGAATACAAAATATTTCAGTAACTCTCTCTGTGATCCTTTGTGTATGTTAGTGTTGGAGTCTTGACAGTAAGCACGTGTATCAACTAATACGGTATTGTTTTAGCAAAATTAATGGTCTTGAGTTTAGTATTAGATAACCAGCTGTGTTAACAATTTGATAAAAAGAGTTTTGTTGTTCATTCGGTACTTAAATCAAATTAACGAAATAATTGATGAATAGAAATTTAAAAAATAATAATAATTCATGTTTACATTACCTTATAAAGCTATAATGACTTTATGTTAAACTTCACAGTAATCAAACATGCCGGCACGGTTGCAAGAACACCCTTCTAAGTTCTCGCATGGCGAGCTGGATTATTCATATATTGCGCTTGCATGAACAGTTGACTTTCTTTTGTTAAACGTTTGATATTTATATTTATTTGTTTCAAAATCTCTTTCTTTAAAAAATATTGTTTTGCTTGGGTAAAATCTTTGCGCCAAGCATCGAGTCTTTGGCAACGCATAATCTTGTGTGAAAGCAATAAAATCTTTGCGCAAACTACCAAATTTTTCATCACTAGACCACTCATGTGTCTTGATTTGCATTAAAATACTGTTCCTAAACATCAGTTTCATAAACTAATAATAATAATAATAATAAGGAATATGATATTGTACCTACTTTTTTTCATATCTACTTTACCTATGCATCTCTAACACCTTTTGATCAGAATTTTAAGGAGAGAAAAAGGGTGAAGGTTAAATTAGATTATGATATAATAAAATTAGAGATAAGTAGATAAAATAGGCATAAAAAAAGATAAGCATAATATCCTATTCCTAATAATAATAATAATAATAATACTAAAAACTATAGTTGGTGATTTACAGGGGCGGGGAATAGTCGGTGGTTTCCTTTTTTTTTCCAAATTTGTTCAATTATATATAAACTTTAGTCATCGGAATCTTTTTTTTTTTAATAATAATATTAAAAACTTTAGAAAGTGAATAATAAAATGACCGTATTTTTATAGGAAATTACTCAATGAATTGAAACTTGTCGGCAAAGATTCTCGGTTAAGAGATAATCTTATGCACTCAATCTACGATACAGTTTGAGCACAAATTCATCATAATTTGCCATTCGTTCTCGCTTTCCTCTAACTACTATCGTAAAACATTTGTTTTGCTTCAAATTTTGAAGTCCCTGTTCTCTTACATCTTAATTTGTGCCAAGTGCCTAAAAAAAAATTGTGCAAAGGTTACACACATGGGCAAATGTCTCTCCTTAAACTTAAAAAAAAAAATTATTATATATAAAATAATATTTATATAATAATAATAAATATTAATGCCAATAGTTAACTCATTCCTCAAAAACACTTATGATATTTAATTCTCCCATTAATATTAATAACACTTGTCAGCTTTACATTTTATTCTTACTCCCCAATCATAAAAACTCCTAGATCCCATACATAGTAGCTCAAGTGGCTCCCATTATTTAATCTTCATCGATACTTTTAAGCTTCAGTTGTCAAACTAATGCAATTGAATATATTGGGCAATGTACTTTTAATTTCTTTTTCTTTTTCATCGTATTCTTCCTGTCAAGAACCGAAGCATTCAATAATATGAAGTAACAATTAGCCATCTGCAGAAATATGTGCAAGGAAATCATTTTAATTTCATTGAACAGAAAAAATCAGTAATATGAATTAACTTTAACCATATGAAGAATTCTTTACATGAAAAAAAAAAAGTTTGACCTCTTTACCTACCTTAATATACAACAAAATTTGACACAAATAACTTATCAAAAGCCTCAAACCACAAGAGTTTTTTTGGCCCCCGCTGACTGTCTGTTTGTAGAAAATTTCTTTACTCTCCTCTGAAATAATAAGCATAAAAACCCTAAAATAACAATGAAAACAAAGTAAACTTCCATGTGTGCTCCCCAAATAAACTGAACAAATTCTAGTTTGCTTTTACTGTTACAATTGCAATCATAGACATTTTGTAGTACACTTCCTTTGACACTGACTTCAGGGTCAAGAACAAAATCCAATGTCATAGGTCCTTCATCCAACCAAATAGATGTATTCTTTGACTTGTAGCCGGGCATGGATGCCACTACTGCAATTTAGATGAAGAAATTGCTTACACAGACTCAAATAGAAAAATGTGTAAATTTAAGATAAAAACCAGGATTTATTACATGGGTGGTGATGAAATCAATATCCTATCTAGGAAATTGTTACCTATGTAGCTAAAGTTTCACATGAATTCATTTCTTTGGAATAATAGGGAACCAGAATGTCCTTGGCCTTTTTATTTGATGTAATTATTTGTCTTTTTGTTTTAAAGTTGTAATATTTTTGCCAATCAATTGTACCATGGTTCAGACTTCAGACAACTTAAGAACCCACCTAGGTCCAGCAACTCTTGAGACAATCATTTTTATTATTTAATTGTTTCACATCATCTTCAGGGGAGGCTTAAATCTGTACCATAACGAAATTATCCAAAATATATTATAATACCTTCATATCTATCTCTTGGGGCAAGTAAGCGATGGAAATCACCAAAAGTCTTTCCAGCCCTAACCTGTTGGTCCAGAATTAGCACACCAAAATTATATCATGAAAGTGAAGATCAAAATCAAACATCTGTCATTGTCAAGTAATGTCAAGAATTATAGCAGAGGGTCAATCCATAGGCTAACAATTGAAACATGAAATTAATTTAAAATTGAAACATTTTAATCTAATAGATCAATCAGTGGAATATTCAGCATAACTACAGATCAGCATTGTAAGAAAAGGAAAAGCTGGGAATATAATTTTACAAAATTTTGAAAATGTAACCCTTCTTATTTCTTTTGAACTTCGTTTTAGATAATTAACTCTCTAAAAATATCAAACAGGAAATGCTCATTTAAATAAACACATCATTGCAGTAGGCCACTTCACTTGCCGTGCTCAAATTTTACTGAATGTCCTTTGCTGCTTTCAATTGTCACTAACCAAAGAAGATTAAAAAAAAACAATTTAGATAGAACCAATTCTATAAGGTGTAAAAGTTAGAGGTGGCAATATATGACATGACCTGATGACACGACCGAACCCGACACAAAAATTTTGTGTTCGGGTCAACCTGTTTTCATTTTCGTGTCGTGTTCGGGTTGACAAAAACTGACCTGAAAAAATTCGTATCGTGTCGCGTGTCAACCCACGAATTCGAAATTGATCCACATTAATTTTTTCACAGGTTATTCATGTCGTGTCGTGTCGTAAACAGGTTATTTGTATCTTATCATGTCAGGTTGACCCGTATAATAAGTAACATAACTTAGGATTTACAGGTTATTCATGACGTGTCGTGTCATGTTAACTCACATAATAAACGACACATTATGAGTTTGCAGGTTATTCATATAGTGTCGTGTCAACCCGCAAAAAAAGCGGGTCGTGTTCGAGTAGAATGTTTTAACCCGATTTCAAATTCGTATCGTGTTCAGGTTGAGTGTATACGTGTCGTGTCGTGTCGAATTCAGGTCATGTCGTGTCGACACGAATTGCCACCCCCAGTAAAAGTCACTTTCTAAGTCCTGATATCCATTACCTCAAAAGACCTTGAAGATTTGAGCCTACAAAAAGGTTAAAGGGAAAGAAAAAAAAAAGAGCAGGGTTGGGGGGAGGGGCGGAGATCCAATTTTCTTTGCTAGTATTTTAAAAACAACCATTCTAATACTTCTGTTCATTTTCTATTTCTTTTGTCCTCCATTTAACCTAATTTATTATTTTCACCTTTTCACAGTATTTTCTACTCTTCATGCAGCATATGAAAAAGTATTAACATAGGCATTTCTTATCTTGATAAATTTAAATTAAGATTCCTATCAAGCCAATAAAAGAGCATGAATGCAAGTGTACCTAGGAACACCATACAAAGATTCATTGGTTCACTGTCATCATAACCATTTTTTTCAATAAAAGAAGAAAGTCTACTCAAAGGTACACGGAAGAAACACGGGCACAGAATACGTCTAATGCTTTAACTAAGTAAGAAGAACATATCCCATGTCATGGGAATAGATTGATCCTTTTGTTCCATGAAAGCCAGCATTTAGGGGTTAAAGTGTAGCATGCTTGGGAGCTCACATAAAACTCTGATGTCATTATCTAATTCAACAAAAATATGCAGATACATACTTCCTAACATGTACAAGTCAGAGAGGGGGAAAAACCGAAAAATTAGAGACCCAAAACAAGTTTAAAAGGAAAACAGAAAAAACTATAATGTACTTTCAGACATACTGTGTAGTTTATTCCACTGACAGTTATTGAGCCTGGTAATGGCCTTCCATCACCTGAAGAATATATTCTTCCATGCACTCCTGTCTAGAGAGTAGAAAACAAATAGCTAATCAATCTAACAAAAAGCATTGGCACAAACACCTTAAAAATAGGCAAATATGAGAAACTTTGAACCAACCTCCCACACATATTTTGAAATATAATTACAATGGTCAATTTTACATCAAGTAAATTTTAACAGAAAGACTTAAAACTAGGTCCTATAAACAAAAATATGGAACTGTCATCAAATATAATTTTACATCTTATTTCAAGCACTGCAAATTATTTCAAACTGAATCTTTTGGGCTTCCTTCAATGTTTTAAAAATTGAAGAGAAGAATGAGATGTGTTGGAAATCAAAGGAAACGGTACTGTCTGCTAAATGATATTGTGCACGCAGTAGCAGTTAATAGAAACCAGTTCAGTGTGCTGAAATCCCCTCTAAACTTTACTTTCCAGCGTGTACATTATTAACAGGTTGTGAAGATCGAGATCCTCATTCTCTTTATAAATAAAACTGATACCTAAGGTCCTGGTCACTTCTATATATTCGCTCAAGGTTGTTCTCAACTACAACTTTCTCTCTCCAATATTTTACAGGAACCATTCAAGAGTTTTTTAAATATTGTGAAGCAAAAGGACACGATAAAGATTCCACATTATTTCTTTAGGTGTAAAGCATATAAACAGAAACAGCATACCTTCACAAGGCTTGCAACAAGATTAAGCATGCTCATTTTGTTGTATTTCCAAAGAATAGGAAGCTGCATATTAACATAAGTAAACAGGAGTCATCCTAAGAAACTTTTCATAGTGAAAAATAAAAAATAACCAATAATATGTAGATGGCTAGATGCCACTCCTGCAAAACAAGTATCTGATAGGTACTTGGAGAAATAATGGAGACCAAGCTCCTTACAAGCAGAGGTAGACCTCTGCTGAGATTGAAATCACAAAAACAATGCAGGAAAACAAAGGAAACTCTGCAGACACACAGAATATCCCACCCTTCCACCTTACTCAATTCTTGCCTACCCTCCCTCTCTCCCTCTTTCTCCTTGTTGCACAAGCCCCACATTGGTTACATTGGTAATCATTGTAATTACTGTGAGTTAACTCTGTTAGTGGGATGAGTCATCAGTTACCGTAGATTCATCCTTACTTTAGGAAAAAAATTATTTAGTTTAGCCTGTATATTGTAATGCATTGTAAAGTATTTATTTGTGCCTTATGTCCCTTACTCCTACGCGCCTATCGGTATCTAATTTCACACTTTGATTGGTCAAGAGCAAACAGAAGACAACGCAATAAAAAGAAACCAAAAATGAACTAAGTTATGATGGCATCAGACAATGGGATTTCTGGTTAGATTGTGTAACTGTAGCCCATATCATACTTGCTGTGTAAACGGATATGGAGAAAACTCATCATCATGGAAATTGGAGAATTTTCTTTAGTAATGGAGTGGATAGGATGTGGATGAAAATAGTAGAAGTGGATGGAAAGTTGTATTGCTAAAGTTTTGAAAACTTTAAATAGAATATTTGAAAAATCTCAGGATGCACCTCAAGTTTCCATGGGTTCAAGGTGGGATCTTTTTTACTATCTTTTAAGATTTTCATGCCTGAAACTCCACCTCCCAACTTTTATTTCTTTAACCATGACTAATTGTATTTGTCATTCTTTGTTCCTTTGATGGTGGAAATTGGAGAATTTTCTTTAGTAATGGAGTGGATAGGATGTGCGTGAAAATAGTAGAAGTGGATGGAAAGTTGTATTGCTAAAGTTTTGCTTTCATTGTCTGTCAATGGAAATTCATGTGGCTTTGGACAGATCTACAAGACAATGTCTGCCACAAACATATTATGTTATGCTATTTGTTTTAACAATTGAAGCTTTAAATAGAATATTTGAAAAATCTCAGGATGCACCTCAAGTTTCCATGGGTTCAAGGTGGGATCTTTTTTTCTATCTTTTAAGATTTTCTTGCCTGAAACTCCACCTCCCAACTTTTATTTCTTTAACCATGACTTATTGTATTTGTCATTCTTTGTTCCTTTAGTCCAGATGACGGCTGCAGTTGGTAAAACTGCAATAGTTTTTTTCTTTAATACACTCTCCTTTTCAGCCCAGAGGGACCTTTTTATCATGTTCTCTTGTAACAACCAAATACAGATATGTTTGAAAGACTGCCAGATTCAGAAATTAGAGCTAACCTCAGCAGCATTAGGCCATTTATTGTCACTAATTTCCAAGGTCAATTCAAAACAGCCAGCATGTATATAGTTCCAATCTTGCATTCCTCCATATAGAGGATACCTGCAGTGAGATCTTTTGTAATTTATGAACATATTCAAAAAATTGAGACTTCAGCATTGAACTTCTACTACTTTCACATAACCATACCATGCTGCTCCATTTGTAATTCCACCAAGAAACTCCTTGCTTGAAGACATATTGTAGTGAGAGTGACTATATATACTTGCCATGAATCGAAATGCATCATCATCAGGACATCCATAGTAATTTGTCCTGTAATTTATTCATATTAATAGACAAATTCAATACAAGAGTCCAGATTACATGCATGTCATCCTACATCTCTACATAAACATAATACGCTACAGATGGTTTGAAAATGCAAATTAAAATACGTTGAATGCACAGGAATAAATAATTTACCACCTTTTATCTTGGGTACCATCCCAAGGATAATTTGCAACAAGTGCACCCTGAGATTTAAAAAAAAGGCACCATTAATGAACAAATCTGCATCTATATATGATAATTATTGATTAAGATTTATAATCAATAATGTAAGATCAGCTATACAGGGCTAGTTCGCATAGGTTGGCCATTTTAACCATCGAATGCAAATCAAGAAAAGCGAGTTTCAGTAAAAAATGAACGCAAGTTATGTAAACGCAGACAGAAGACATTCAGTAAAGCTCCTAAAATACAGTTTTCATTTAAAGAAGAAATATTAAATGAAATAAACTATATGAAAATAAAAACTCCCAGAATTATACATATTCTAGATTTCTGAAAGGGTAATCAATGATGTTTATCAAAAAAAAAAAAAAGGGTAATCAATGACTTTTAACAACTTTATCGTATGGCCATTAACCATACCCATATAACTCTGCTTCTTCACTGTGCATTCTAATAGAGAAAACAGAAAGACTGCAGAATGAAAGCAAGGATAGAATTGATAGGTACCCATATGCAAATGGACTAGAATTGCAGGAAAAACGGTAGGGAAAGAAAGAAACCAGAGAGATGGAGAACGAGAATTCTGTTATTCAGTAATGGGGAGAGAGAATGTACAAGTCCCTCACTCACAACTGAGAAACCTAGGTGAACTAACTATCATTTCAGTCTGCTCTATTCTGTATTCTGTACAACTCACATTATTTAATCTCTAACTCATAATTGGTTAAATAGTGGGAGTTGCACAAATACAGAATTCTCCTTATTAGGAGTTGGCTCATGCCTAACAAGAATTCCTTGATGTATAGCAGGATCCACATAAGTAGAAGTAAATGTAAAAACCAATTCAACCCAAAAGCTTAAGCTATTAGGTGAATGCCTCTTTAATAGTTTATATTATACTCTAACACATCCCTTCAAACGAGAGCCCACTGGACTAGAAGGATGGACAATGCACAAGCCCATCTACCCGTGCTAAGAAAATTCCACAAGAGAAAATGGGGGACGGTGAGGATCGAACTTGAGACACGACGCTCTGATACCATGTAAGAACCAATTCAACCCAAAAACTTAAGCTATTGGGTGAAGGCCTCTTTGATAGTTTATATTATACTCTAACAGTAAAAATGGAAATAAACAACTCAGACAAGAGTAGACATCACACAAAAATAAAAGCAAGAGAACTATCATGACAATTTCCAAGAAGTAATACCCCATGCAAAGTGGCAGATGCTGTGAATCGTATATCTCTCAACCAATTCATTATTGCTCTGGTTTCAGGTTGCAGAGAATCCTCATCATCATTTATAGGAAAGATCTGTTGTTTCATTTGAGACAGACATAGCAGGTTACTGTCCATATGATCTATAGAAAGAAATAGTAGTAATTATAAAAAATAACATGATATAGAAAAGGCAAAAAATGGGGCGAACCGGAGCAGTGGTAAAGTTGTTCTTTCATAACTGAAAGGTCATGGGTTCGAATCCAGGAAACAGCCTCTTTGCAATTATGCAAGAGTAAGGCTGCGTACAAGAATTACCTCCACCCCACACTCGCTAGTCAGGTTTAACGGGAAGTGATTTTTTTATAGAAAAGGCAACTTTAAATTTATATTAAATTCAAATATATATATATATATATATATATGTATACAACTATACATCCACATCCAAAAAGTAAAAGTGCATGGTCCTAACTCCTAATAGTAAAATAACATTTATAAATGTTATCAAATATTATAATGATCTTAGAACCATAATAGTAAAATCTAATATTCATAACAGTGAAAACATCAATAATTGTTCGTGTTAGAATAGGAAATATAATATATATACATTTGGTTTAAATTTGTATAGATTACTTTCCTAATTGTAAATATTCTTTTTCTATTTAGTTTTGGATTAGGTCTGGGCTTCTCACTTAAGCCCATTAGGGTCTATATATATTGTAACTCTTTGTATTAGCTTAATACACAACATATTATTTTATATTCAAGTTGGTATCATAGCTCTTTTGTTCTGGGAACCCCGCTTTCGCTTAAAACCTCGTTTTCGCTTTAAAACCTAAGCCCCCTGCTTAAGAGTTTTCTTTTCTTTGCCGTGTGTCCTTCCGGCAAGCCATCTATGGCTGTAAGCTCCTTCGGATTGATTTCCGCACACGTCAGCACCTCCGACCACCACCGGAACCACCGTCCGTCACTGTTCTGACCACCGAAGACTTTTTCCAACGAGTTTTTCCAACGACTTTTTGAACCAGAACACACCTTCCCATAGTTTGAATATTAGAATTTGATCTCATAGAAACAATGAACTTCGAAACAATATTTTTAACATATTGTATGCAGATTACTCTTAAGAAAATATACCTGATCAGGAAAATCCCGGTTTAGATCAATATTATTAGCATTATTACGCCTTCTTAAACTAAAACCATCAGGATTTATTGATGGAAGTAGATGGAGGTGAACATTCTCCACAATCAATGTTGCCTGAAACATTTCACTAAAAGTCATTGTAAAAGTAAAGACAGAATCGTACAATAACAGTAGCGTCACTAAAAACTGAAAGATTTGAATAATGCAACTGAATTCCAATATATTGGAGATATAGTTCATATCTATTCATTAAATAAATTTGTAACATAAATACAGATTATCTTTTTGACATTCACTCATCGGAAATTTCAAATTGAATGCATGAAGCATCCCTTCCTCGGAAATTGTCATGAAATCTTACTAGTAGATATATAGCAGGATTGAAAAGCCTGGGTTTGATGATTTTCTTTCTATTGTTTTCTTAATAAAAGAAGTTTCAATACAGGAAAAAAATGAAGAGGTTATAAGGCTGTAGGATAATTTTCTTTTGGCCAGTCACTACAATTTGTGTGCTCAATAGTAGATATTGCAACACTTCATAACTCTAAAAATTTTGTCACCAGTATCCGTAGAATAACAGCGAAGGCAAATATTTGACATGTCACAACAAAAGTGGGGAAAGAGATCAAAATATGCTTGCGCAAATAAAGGAAAGGAAAATACCAGAGGATCTTTCAAATGGTTATCACATAACCAATTGGCCAAAAACATAAGAAGCTCACGGCCCACAGGTTCATCTCCATGCACATTTCCAATATACTGCATCAGTATTATATTGGTCATAGAATTGCAGAAAGAATTGCTGAATACAGAACTACAGAATAATCTTCAGGGAAATAATCGACATAAAGCAAAAGTAAAAATATGGCACAAAGCAGAAAAATCATAGCAAAAAAACTACTAATCCATAAATATATATATATAAAAAAATCCAACAAAAGAATTTATTGAGAGAAAATAGAATGCAAAAACAGAAGATGGCAAGGAATCCTCCCAATTTAAAAAATAAAAAATAGCAAAGGAAAACTGGAAAGAATACATTAGCTCAAGAGCACTCCCCCCCAAAAAAAGGGTAATGAGCAGCAGATTTTAGGAATGCTAAGAAAACAGTCCTATTAGGTCGAGAGAGTTCAATTATTCCTGTTATGCGTTTTCTAATATCTAATATATGAGTAAAATACTAAAATACATTGTCCAGTATGCAACAAAAGTTTATTAAACCTCAGGGTCAAAAACATTAAAAAAAGGAGATAGATAGATTGATAGAGAAGGAGGAAGAGAGAGAGGCATACTTGAATAGTTGTTCCTAAGATTACTTTTGCATCTTATTACAAGTTTCCTGAGATCATTATTTTAGATGGGTGTAGACCAATATGTCTTTTTAACACACTTAAGCCAAAGAATTGTTTTACATTTCAAATCCTTGAATTATTCAACCACTTACCCCAATGAAATCCTGCCAGTTCAGAAATTTGATGGATGCAGAATGCATTGGTATTCCTAATAAAGAATGAAGGGAGATTGGAATATCAAATCTTGAAATCTAAATTTGCTACAAAATTGCCTACATCATCGAAATATCAAGACAAGGAACCAATATGACACAGATAGGAGAATTCACAAAAAAGAATCTTAAGTTATAGCCACCGGATAAAGTAGTGTTCTGATATAACGCTATAGTTTTTCTGTTTTCAATGTAGTGATCAAACGTAGAAGTGAAAAAGGGAAGGAAAAGTTATCAAATGTGGATTGCGGCATATTGCGGCCAACCCCGAAAAACGCTATAGCACTATAGCGGGTTGCGGTTGCGAAAATAGCGGAATAGATATATGACAGAACTAATGACAAAAAGAAACATTTTCTAAAGGCAGAGATAGCAGAAGTGATAGAAAAAGACACAGATAAACTAAAAAACCCTTAAAAAATTTCTGTTACAGATTTAAATTAAGGACAAAATTGACATTTTGCCTTATGGCTGCGATTTGGCCGCAAATGCGATAGAAATGGCCGCTATTGCGTTCCGGTGCGGCACGATGCAGTTTCTTGTGGCAAGGCACCGCAACGCCCATACAGCGCGGCTCGCGGCGCTATTGTAGCGCAATTAACTACTATGATCAAGAGGATTAAAATGAGTGGAAAAGTTATTTCAATATTCTTGTCTCTGTTCCTACCAGCCAATGTGTCATCATATTCTAACTTTAAATGTTTCTATATGTGTCTGTGTAATATTTTCCTATCCTACATGGCTATGTATCTCAAAAGCTATAAAATTCATATAAAACAATAAGCATAAGCAAGTTGCTTCACTGATATTGGGTGCAAAACACTCACCTTAAATGCAGGTTCAGTCTCTTCTTCTCCCGGCTTGTCAGAAATCTCTATCACCCACTATATGGAGGAGAGCAAAAGAGAGACAACATTCACTCGAAATGAAGCTATTTTAATTCAGAGGTAGCTATGAATGAATTCCAAAAGGAAAAAGAAATTACCAGTGGAACTCCCTTGACACTCTTCCCAATACTAATAGCCCATTCCAAGAATCCCTCGAAGAGAGAAACAAATTGCAAGTCAGTTTAGTAATTGCAAGAAGCACTGGATTTTAATAAGTTCATTTATTCATGAAAAAATGTACTGCTGAATATTGTGCTCTAATGTCCTTTATTGAGGCATAATTATGAGATAGATAATCAAGAAAGAAGCACATGTATGAGGAATCACCTGTATATCCTAGAAATGTTGCTGCATCTTTGTCCAAATTCCTTGATGGCCCTTTCAAGGTCAGCATTGGTCATATATCCTTGTGCCAAATCAACACTGCTAAAGAAAATAAATAAATCATAAAAACCAAAAAACACTATTTGAAGTTAAATTCGCAATAGAGCATAGCAAGAACTACGTCATAGCTATACAGGGGAAGATCCACCTTGATTACCTTGTATGAGCCCGAGATTCATTGTCCTCTAACAAATGCCTTGCACTACTACAGTTATTGAAATCTTCTAATACCAACATAAACATGCCATTAGAATTCAGAAACTTCAAAATTTTAGCTTTCAAGCTAAAACAAAAAAGTATTATCAAGCTAACTATCATTCTAATCCCAAAGTTATAATCTTCCACTTCAAACTTCTAATGCAAACATATGAAATAAAAAATAAACTGATAATACAAATTCAGATGCAAGTTAAAATATTTTAGGCAGGAAAGGGGTAAAGAGATATCCACAATCTAATCCAATCAGAACAATAACAAGTCGAAAAATTATCTATAAATGATATAATAAAAACCTCCAAATCTTAAAAATAGTTCTAACTTCAATTCCTCATGATGCCAAATAATGAGTTTCAGCTTGTGTTAAGCTAAGAATAAAAAAAATCTCAAATTTCCAATTACCCATTTCATTCCCTGTCCTAAGCAGATTAAAAAAAAAAAAAAAAAACAGAACATTAAACAAGGCATTGATGCATAGTTTAATATGCAAAGAAACAAAGAAGAAGAAGACCTGAAGGAGGAACAAGGCTTTGCAAGAGAACTCTGGCAAGAGAAGAGGTAAGTGTGGAAGCAAGAAGGAGAAGAGAGAAGAGCAGGTTCATCTTCATGTGACGATGATGATGTCGGATTCAGGCTTAGGTTGTTTGTTCTGATTTATCGGTATGGTAACCATCATGTCACTCCCGTGTCTTCACAAATCCAAATTTTCATATTCAAGCAATGCGTACCCACTTTTTCTCTCTTTGCTTGTATCTTACAAGATCCAACTTCCTACTATATATGGGCTCTGATGTTGACCCATTTGTTAGGTTCCAAGGCCCATCAGATTTTAATTTATTATTTGGTGAAGACAGTATGTTATTTTCCTTCTTGAAAACATGTTAGTTAGGGTTGTTAAATTTCTTTTTGGATTAACGTTTCTGTTATAGGAGATAAAATTATTTAATATATATATATATATATATATATATATATATAAAACATGTGAAATTAAGAGAAGAGAAAAAAAATATGAATCTTATATTCTTTTATGCATGTGTACTTGTGAAGTTAAAATTATCTCTTATAAAGTAAGAAATACTAATACCTTGTTTTTTATGCTAGAAACTGATTCTTTTTTCAAAATATACTATTTAAGGATTTATATTATAATTAACTTGGTGTAAATGATGTGGTTATTTCATATAATTGAAAAAAGTGTATGTCCTTTTAAAGGACACAAACTTAAGTCATTTTAAGAAAAAGGTAGACACAAAGAGATAGGACTCATACTTTTATTTTTTTTGTCTTTATTTTTCAATGGAACACACATCTATTTGTGTCTATTTTTCTCTTAAAATGACCTAAGTTTGTGTTCTTTAAAAGGACACACAATTTTTCCTTCACAAATTTAAAAGATAAATGACATTTAGGTATTAACCAAATAACATTTTTAATCATTTCATATATTTCTTGGTAATGTAATAAATAAAAGTTGTTTTTTTGAATTTTTTTAAATTGATTATTAATTAATATATTCAAAAAAAATATTTATTTTATAATCAATTAGCATTGTCAAATTACTACTCTTGAAAGTTTGACAGTTGATATTAGGATTTTTTTCATTCTTATATCAATTATTTGTTTAGATTTCTTCTCCAATTTATCGATTATCGCCAATATTCGCCAGTTTAATTTGATTTTATGTCTAGTTGGAATGACTCGATTTACCAATTGAATTTGTTTGTTTGAAGAGTAATACATGTGTTGCCAAATGATTGGTTTCTACTCGAGAACAATGCTTTAAAAACGACATAGCTCAAATAATTAGGATAATTACAAGATTATATCACTTTTTAGTTTCAACTTGTAAGAAATTTTTATACCAAACTGCCTTGAAAGCGGATAAGATTGTATTGCAACATTTTTTAAAAATCTAGATTCCGTCACAATTTACAACTTTAATGGAGGGTTTTTCTTTTATGGATCATTGTGGGTCAAACAATCATAATATCTATATCTATCTCCATATTGGTTTACAAAATTATTCTTTTTTTGGGTGCAGAAAGATAAGCATTTACCATGTAAAACAAGAATGAAAAAGAAAGAAAGATAAATGAATATTTACTAGAAGTGTATCAAGGCTAAGCCTAGACTAGCCCTCACAAAAGTGGACATGATTAATCAACACAAAGGATAGAGAAATCAGTGGAAGTTAGAAATTCCTTGCGTTTGGTATACAACATTGGGTTCAACTCATTCATGATCTTCCTATTTCTCCAAAGCAACATTTGCTGCTAACTAGAGAGAACCTAGACATGCACGGTTGGGAGTAAAGTGCTTTTGTAGCTTCTCCCACTAATTTGCCAATGATTTAATATTTAGAGAAATGGTTTGTAACTTGAGTGGCGACACCCACCAAAATCCCTCAACTTGTTCACCTCGGTGCAGTGGCGGACTCAGGAAAATTTCTTTATGTCCGCATATTTAGGGACGGGGTTCAGGGGCAGCGTCTCTGATTTTTTTTTTTGTAAAAAAAGTTTAAATTAACGCTTGAACCCACTCATAATCTAGTTGTTTCCATAACAAAGGATGAAGAAATCATGGGAATAGGTATGTGACAGGGGAGGAAGAATAAGTTTTCTCTCTAATCAATTTGAGTTGCTACGTTGTTTTAATCATTTCCGTACGTTGCTATGTTGCAAACTAATATAAGAATAAATATCATTTTTGGTCCCTAACAACAAATTCGTCCCCACTTTAGTCCATTATAAAAAAAAATAGTCACCTGGTCCCTGTGAAATTTAAAGTGGACCTATTTTAGTCTTTTTAAAACTAATGTAGATCTTTTTTGAATTTGTGAGGGACCACGATTTTAATTAAATTGATTCACTTTGAATTTCTTAGAAACCTCCACGAGACTAATTTTTAGTAAGGGACTAAAATGGGGATCACATTTTTTGTTAGAGACTTAAAATGATATTTACTCCTGCTATAATTATTGAACTAAGAGATAAATAATAACCTACATGGCTAAAAAAAATTAAAATGCAAAATCTTGTGTCCGCACTTGCGGACATGTGACCCAACGTGGGTCCGCCAGTGCCTGGGTGGAAAAAAATTTACTTAAAAACTAAATATTCTTATATTGTTACAACAAATGGTTTTTTCATTATCTACATGCGGAGCCACATTGGCTTCAACAAGTGCTTTTGGCACTGACTTATTTTAAAAAATTAATCATATTTTAGACGTGGATAAATAACTATAATTAGGCTGCAGAACTTAAAAGGAATAAAATTTAGTGTTTGACATCCGCTAATTTTTTTGGCATGGACTAAGTAATTTTGGTGGCTCAATCACTGGCTAAAGAATCTTGGGATACACCACCCCAAAAGCTAGCTCAAAGGGTGGGAGTGCCCAAGACCTTATAAACTCCACATTAGTTGCACATACAACCAATGTGGGACTATATATCTCAACACGCCCCCTCACACGAGAGCCCTTTGGGCTTAAAGCGTGGATAATGCAACAGGCCCAGCCTACCTGTGCTAAGAAACTCCACAAGAGAAAGTGGAGGTCGGCGAGGCTCTGATACCATGTAAAGAACCTTGGGATACACCACCCCAAAAGCTAGCTCAAAGGGTGGGAGTGCCCAAGACCTTATAAACTCCACATTAGTTGCACATACAACCAATGTGAGACTATATATCTATACGTACTTTTTTTTTGGTAAGTGTGTACACATACTCTTTACCTTGGTCAATTAAGAACTTATTTCGCTTAATTTTTTTGTTTAAAAACTGTTTTGAAACTAAAGTTGAAAATAAGAACTTAAATTGTTTGCCTGTTATATAATTTTTTAACTTGAAAACTACTTTAAAGCTCAAATTATATATAAGTTGTTTAGTAAAATAATCTTTATAAATTATAATTCCAATTAAAATAATCATAAAGGATATATAATTGTAAATTTCTATATTACTTATATAAACATAAATATTTTTTAACAACTAAAACGATAAATACTTATTTTTAATATATTTAAAAATATTGAAAAAATTAGATACTAATATATCAATTTATAAATAATATTTTATAAGTATATCAAATTTAAATTTATGAAATAATTATTTTTATAAATAAATAACTTTATAAATTTTTCCAATATACTAATATGTTAAACAGTAACTTTTTTATTGACACATACAACATATGCAGAGAATAAAAATAGGATAATATATTAATAAAAAACAAGATAAGATGAGATATACGAGGGCTTTTGATCCTTTCACCCTCCAACAAATAAATAATAACCATTTTGCCCCTCCCAAAAACATTCCACCCATCTGCTCTCGTTTAATCGATTAAACCTTGAGCTTAATTGATTAAACAGTTCAAAAACGCAGAAATAAGAACACCCATGATTTAATCGATTAAGCCACGATGCTTAATTGATTAAATAACGTCAGAAACCTTATATCTATATGTGTTGGTCTCATTCGACTTATATCCACTTTTTACACCAAAATTTCTCTCGTTTTTCATCTCTAATCCAACCCATTAAGACGCTATTTCATCCCATCAACTCTAAACCCTGAATCTTGTGAAAACATTGTCATTGCACTTACATATTCTCTTTTTGTTGGGAAAATCCGAACCCAAACCCTAAAATCTTGAACCCTAGTCCCAATTTCGTGAGAAAAATAAGCTCAAGTTCAAACACGCTTGTTACAGTGATCTACCACGATGGGAGACATTTTGAAGGCCCCAATGGTGTTCAATTAGAATGAAAAACGAAAATGATGAAAATCAAATGGAGCATTACATACAACGAGCTCAAGGGAAAATTCACAAAAAATTGGGGCTACAAAGCAGCCAATGCATTCATCGGATGATAGCGAGGGTAGAAAGTACAATTGGTAAGGATGTTATATACTACATTACTAACGATATTTGTGATGATGAAGATGTGGAATATGTTATAGATGCAATTGGTGACCGGAGATTTCAAAATTTTATTGAGATATATGTGCAGTTGATTATGGCCAATCTTCATCAGCTCTCATGCATGCAAGAAGTCCATAATATTTTGTCAAAAGGCAGAGTCGTTGGTTTATCTGCACCTGCACAAGTGTTAAGTCAAATAACACTGCAGGAGAAAGATGAGGAGGATATGGACAACGATGAGGAGGGCAAACCTGATAGTGTTATTCCACTAGTGGGAGAACCTGCCTTTCATGACATCACGAAACGTAAATCCACCTCAACAATATCGTCCATGTTAGCATGATTAACCTCATCATCATCATCTGCCTTAGCCTCAACCATATCTGCATCTGGGCCAACCTCATGGACCTCAATCTCACCATGTGTTGAGAACTGCCACACACACTGCCTTTACTTGGAGATCTTGCACTGCTCCAATAGACGCTTTCCAAACTTGGCATTATAGCCTGGGCGGGTCTTCAACCCGCCAGTGTCTGTGGGAACACCGAAATGCTCCAATGTTCCCTCTGAACAAGAAAGGCAAATGAAAGTGCACCCTTATGCTTCGCTTTACCCATTATCCAGCAAATATAGTGCCTACAATTCACCTGTACGCCATGACAGATAACCCGCATAATAGGAATGTCATCCTCCTGCACCCTCGAATGATTGAAAGCTCGCGGGGACAGTATGTGCGTGATGACGTAGTGCAATATACGGGCATCAACACTGAGCAA